CATCGGCCTACCTCGGCTACATCTTATTGCTGTTTTATTTTTATTTGATGCTCTTTCTTACATATCTGAAGTTTCTAGATAAGTAGGTAGTATGCCATAGATCTTCCATACAAATAATAGGAAGATACTTTTTACTCGTTAGAGGTTGATTTAAAAAAAAATAGGCCTACATTTCTCCGTATATAAGGTGTTCCTCCTCCATCCATCTTGACACAAAATTTTATCAAAATCATTTCAGCGAAAGCTGTAAAAACGATGTAGACTAACTGACAGCTGTTATTTTGGGATTAATATATGTATTATTCGTATTCAGCCCTTTTTAACGTCCCACTGCTGGGCATGGCCTCCCTCCAATTAGATGGGCATCATATCCACCACGCTGGCCAAGTGCGGGTTGGCGGACTTCACATGTCTTTCGAAAATTAGCTAGGTTCTCTCAGACATGCAGGTTTCCTCACTATGTTTTCCTTTACCCTAAGGCAAGTAGTAATCATGTTAGAAGTGATTCGCACATGAAAATATCAGAGGTGCGAGACCCGGAATTTGAATCCTCTTCACTCGGTTTCTCAAGTGAGCGCGTTACCACTGGACTGTCTTAAATAAAAATTATTATTTCTTTTATACAATATTTAATTAATACTTTATTATTATCAAAATAATTGTTGATTTGGAGTAAATAAAATAATCAATAAATATTGCTAACTGCAAATAGCAATATACTTACATAATATTACATACTTACAAACGTATTTGTGGTTCTGTATGCTACATGAGCCTTTACAATGTTAAATGGTCGACGTAACAAGATATATAAGTATTAGCCAATCATAATATGCTCAGCTAACGTAGGTTAAGTTGTTTACGAGCTGCACCCATTCAACATGCTTCAGCTACCGTCACAGATAGCGAGTGTCAATATTTAAGTAAATAAATACGACGTTAATGTAATAACTCGTAGTTGAACAAAGTAACAGTTATTGCGTTATTGGAATCTTACTTTCATTTATAATAAGATTTATTTCAAATCTAAGTGATGTTGAAGTGTTTGTTTCAGAGATTAGCAAACAAAAATAAAAAACTCTTCATCTCATCATTGAAATCATCTTAGTAATTTTACCTATATATTTTTCACTTTTTTCCTCATTTTTTTATATGTAGGTATTCTAGCGTCTTCCCATTGTTTCGCTCGGGTGCGAGCCTAGGTTCGTTTTATATAGAAAAGATCTATCCCACGGGAACCGTTCATTTTTCCGGAATAACCCATTTGCCAAATTTTACTAAATTAGGAGCAAAGTTAACTTATACAGCTTAGTACACAACAACTTTATAACTATAGTGTTTTAACTATCCTACGAGAACTCTTTAATTTTCCAGGATGAAAAGTATCTGAAAACTTTGACAGAGCCTAGCAAGTTTTCGAATGATATGTGAAGTCCGCCAACCCGCACTTGGCCAGTGTGGTGTACTGGCCTCATGCCCCACGTATTGAAGGGAGGCCCGTGCCCAGCAGTGGGACGTTAAGAAGGGCTGAATACAATAATACTATAAAAAAAACATGAGTAAAGACAATAATTTTAGATATTTTATATTTTTTTCCTGTTTTTGATTAAATTCTTAAAAGTAAATTGTGATACTATTTCTAATCTCTACCGGTATTCTTGATAGTGATCAATATTTATTATTTACTTAATTTTTTATGGGCTATTTTATTATAGGCACGTTTCGAAGTTTAAGTTTATTGTTATGAAACTTTTATTTCCTAAACCAATAAGTACAATAGAGACATCGTGGCCATGCACCAGACAGGTCCATTTTAGAGAGAAACTTACGTGCCAATTTTACGGTCGATAAAGCAGAGTAAAAATTTACAGTAGGTACCTACCTAGGTACTCCTTGTTTGTCATATCTTTTAATGTTATTTTTTTCTATTACCTAAATAAATCCTCATCCTCTATCGAGATAGATGTTTATTTTTTTGCCACATAGAATTTGTCCTTGCAAAGACTTCTTACGTAGTATACAAAAGTTAGCAAGTTAATATTAATAGTTAGGTATTGAGTAGTGACTTGTGCTACACTGTCGTGCCTAAGAATGCTGGTGTGTATGTTATAAAATAAACAGTACAGTACTGTGGGTTACCTTGGGACTACTAATAGTAAAACAATTTTTGCGTCGAGACAATTTGACACTTCTTCGGCACTTATATTGCTATTGTATATAATGAAATCCTCCTCGCTGGTGTAGTGGCTAGCATGTATGGCTGCACACTCGGGGGCCCTGGGTTCGAGTCCCGGGTCGGGCCAAGTTTAGTTATTGAGTCTTTCTGTATAGTAAGTCTCAGTAACAGCCCGGAGTTGGGAAGTTGGCGGTGTTTCCCCCCCGTGCCTCGGAGAGCACGTAAAGCCGTCGGTCCTGCGCCTTAACTCTCACTGGTCGTGTCGAGCAGTCGTCCCACCGGAGTATGAGAGTGACAGGAATAGAGAGTGCATTTGTGTCTGCGTGTACACTTGTGCACTATAATATCTCCTGCGCAGTTGGCTAGTCTCAATGAGATTGGCCGCCGTAACGGAATCGGCTAGGAGAACATCATCATCATAATAAAATCAATAAAACTTTTAATTACTACCCTTTACAATATTACGAATGAAAAAAGAAGGTCACAAAATTCCTCCTGACTCTTGATTAAAAAAAAACAGAAGAATTCTTAAAAAAATCTATTTAAAACTCAGATTTTAAAATGCAAATACACTAACACTTAGTCATCCACGCAACTCATACACACAAACGCACACATCACAGGCGCAATCAACACACACAAACACACATACCTACATGTACACACACACAAATATACATAAAAATTTAACACTTTCACACATACACACCACAAATAAAACACACAATTCTAACCTACACCACAGATCATATAATACTGTACTAGCCTACACATACTAAAAAACTTAAAAATCATATTTTTCTTTATAGGCTTGTAATACATACTTTTTTCTGACTTATTTATCTGTATTATTAGATTGTTTCATCTCAACTAATTCAGCTGAAACTTACTACAAATTATGGAAGAGCGTAAACCTCTGGTACCTACAGGTATTTTTAAGACGATTTCTACCATGTTACTATCATGTACTTGTTGTTGAATGGAATAAAATATTTGTACTTACCTACCTAAGGGTTCAAAGAAAACGATCCTAAACGCAGTACCAGACCACGATTCTAGTCGTGGTCGCAATATTCCCTACTTCACCAAGAAAAGTGCAGTCTCTTGACTAAGTTTTAATTCAGTATCTAACATGGATGATGCCAAATAGGTTGTGTTATTATTTATATGTGTATATAATATATTAGATATTATTATCAAAAAAGAATACAAAACACTACTTTGGTTAGGTATAATATATCTAGAAACGATCGTAGATAGCATGAGGATAAGTTTTTTAAATGTTATGTACTTGAGTGACAACACTTAAATATATTTTATCTAAACGATTTTTAAAATAAAAGTCTTGAAAACAAAGAAATACTTGAGTGGACACTTAATATTACTTTTAAATATAATCAATAATCATAGTCACATAAATATCGTTTTGTTTTGATGATACTAAGGTATAATAATATAAGCATATATATTTTTTTTGCTATTAAGCAAAGTTATCGTTAAAATGCGTAATGCGCCTTTTTATTTCGTATAGCAATTATGTATTATAAAACTTTTCAACTTTGATCTTATTTTTTCCAATAATTCACGTTTTCTATTCTATTTCATTTACAAACCTCAGTTGTCATAGATTATTTTCATTTTATCATGGTGTGGCCGTCATTAGTCAAACTGTTCCTTTTTAATAATGAATGTTCCTATGATTTACATATTGTAACATTTTTTCTCTAACTTAAATATTATGAGCTTACGGTACTTAGTCATTGATAACTGTAAGTCAATGAAATTAATTTTACCTATAACATGTACCTGTCCCCTATCCAAAATTACTTGTATTTTTTTGGTATAAAGTATTTTAAAAATTTTCATTATAATAAAATAAATATTGTGGGACATTTACACACAGCGCCATCTAGTTCCATGGTAAGCTACAAGGCTTGTGTTAAGGATACCATATACCTAGTTGATACACTACACCATGAACGAATTGTGGCTAATTTGTTCATGCACTACACATATATCATTTTAAATACATATTAAAAATATAAACACCCATGACTAGAGTACAAACATTCGTGCTCATCACACAAATGAATGCCCCCAGCGGGATTCGAACCCGCGACCGCTGGCAAAGCAAATAGTGTCACTACAAACTGAGCCAAACGTGTCGTCGTATTGTTTTGTATTGTATTTTCATTATATTACTTTAAATACAGATATAATCTAATTTAATTCTAGAAAATTATGCACCATGATAAAAATGTCCAGACAGACATTAAGGTTGCAGTACCTTCAGGTAAATACTAGCTCTCTCGCACATTCTCGCGATGTTTCGTGTATAACCCTCATTATAAAATATTCGGGTAACCCTACCCCAACCCCCCCCCCTTGCCCATCCCCTTCGAGCGTGTCACGTGATTAATGGACGATCCCTTAAATAAGGACCTTTTAACTATAATGTTAAGACTTAAGACAACAAGCCATTGGGTCTATTTCCACTAGCGAAGATCGGCCATCATCGGACAGGAATGCATATTGTATGTAAAGTGCGTTTTCTCATTAACAGGCGACGATTTCTAAAACGGCCAACTTCGCAACAATTGCTCGTAATCTTTGAGATATTTACGTCTAAATTAAATAAAAACACCTAATTTATACGAAATTTATTATAATTTCAGCGTCAAATATAAACTTAGTCTTATTTTAAATGATAGGTTTTAGCTTAACTAGTAACTAAACAGATCAAAACGTTATGCTCACATTTCACAAGCGCACAATAAATAAAAATGGATGCCAAAGCACGTCACATGGGGTCACTTATCTATCATAAATCTTTAGAATCTTCTGGAAGGCATAAAAATAGTTTTGAGCAAAACAGGTTAAAGGAATTGCAAGCATTCTGTATCCACATGGGCTTATCTTTCCACATGATGAATACATAAAATACTGGAACTCCTAGAGCTATGAACGCAATTCCAATACCAATTTCCATAGGCTTCTGAGTACCTGAAAATACTACTAAAGCGGTACAAATGACGAGAAATGCGATTGGTAGTAAAAGGTTAACTCGTATCGGTCGAGATAGTTCGGGACGAGTGTAACGCAACCATAATAGTCCAGCCACTGAGCAAAGAATGAATATCGCCTCGACAGCAGTCACGTAAACTATCAGCGACTCCACGCTGTTCGATGACAGTAGAACCAGAGTCACTAAGCACTGAAATGAAAAAATATATATATTAATTTTTGTCCTAGTAAATCTATAATAATAAATTAAATCTATAGATACCTAGAGCTCCAAGTATACCTCTAGACCTACTTCTAAAATTTAAGTGTACGAACAATACAGGTACAGGGTAGAACAAATGGACGGAACATGGAAGAAAAGCAGTGGCGTAGTTTTCAAACTATTCAAACTATTTTAATAATAATAATAATAAAAATCTTTATTGGACACGTTTTAAAGATTTACAAAATTATGTTCGATAATGACTACATTAGTTAAAACTGTGTCGTAGTCATTAACGCCCACCTCCAGATAAAAAAAAATATACATTATGTTCCAATATAAGATTTAAAAGTTACTAGCATTGCCCGCGGCTCCGCCCGCGTTCAGATGACCAAAAACTAAATTCTTAGGTGTTACATATTAGTATACTCTTACATTGCAGTTTTTGTATTTTTCCTCAGAAATAAGATATTTTCCCGCGGTAAAAAGTATCCTAGGATCGCGCGCTACATCGCCCGGTTTATATAGCTTGAGCAGGCGGTCGAGCGATGCGGGGCAGAGGGGATGGACTCGCCGTAGGCATCTCAATGCTCGCCAAGCATTAAAAATGTTTCGCTACTAATTACTTCTAACAACGATATCTCAAAAACTATTCATCTGATTGATTTAGTGTAAAGAGCAATTTTAATCTGCATTAAATGACTAAGCTAACTAAAATATTCATTTGGATAAGGATTAATACCGAACTAAAGAAAATAACTTTGAAAATAACGTAATGTTTTTAATTAAAAATGTTAACATAAAAGTGGTTATTGTAAGTCAACCGTAAGAGATAGAGATATGCTATCGCGGACTTTTTTGTAGCATTTTTATAGATTTTGAATTCTCTAGTACATTACTTAACTGTATCTTTGCTAGTTTACGCGGCGTTCGCGTGGAAAGTTCCCATTTGGCGAGATTTTTTGCGACCTCTTCAACATTTGTCGCCGTATTTCAGCTAATTTACATAAAAGCATAATAAATTATATACCTAAACCTTCCTCAAGAATTACTCTTTCTATTGTTGAAAACCGTATAAAAATCCGTTCAGTAGTTTTCGAGTTTATCGCGTACAGACAGACAGGAGGACAGAAAGACGCGGCCGGGGGACTTATTTTTATAATAAGTATAGATAGTAATAGTTCGATAAAATAGTGATGGTGTAGTTTACCGTATTTTTAGTTTTAGGTAACGAATCGTATACGATTACCGGTTCAGGTAAGCTTTTTTTTTAAATTTAAATGCAGTTATAATTTTTTTTTAAATCTTTAAGCAAAACTTGATAACTTCAATATTTAAGGTGCTTTTCTTTCATGTTCCGTCCATTTGTTAAACCTTCTTAGCTCAGTGGCTTGACGATTAAATAAATTGGAAATGGAGATAGCTTATATTCTGGATCAGCGCATATACTAATTTGTATTGAGCTACCTCGCACGCGAGAGGAGCCGCGGGCAAAAACTAGAAAATTTCATAGTTTTTTATTCACTAGTTCCTCAGTGAAACTGTTACGCTGTATACTTGTTATAAGAAAATTATTAGAATACTAGCGGCTCACCCTCGTTTCGCTCAGATTCCCCTCTAGAAAAAGAAAAACAAATCTATCCCACTTTAACCGTACATTTTTCCGGGATAAAAAGTAGCCTATGTGCTATTCTAGGCTACAATCTATCTCTGTGTCAAATTTCTTTTCAGTCGTTGTGGCGTGATTGAGTATGAATAAACATCCAACAACAATAAACATAGTAAGATAATCTCCAAACTTAAAAAACTCTTAGGAATAAAAGTACGCCGAACACAATACTGGATGTATTGTGTTCGGCGTACTCGAGTATCAATTTTAACTCGATCTACTAGTCTAGACATAAAGTAAATACTGGTAATGTAACACTACTAACGGTTAATCTAACACTACTAATTACTATTACTAACGGGAGGGTTCTCCCGTGACCATGATTGCTGTAAAGCATTCGAAATGTTGGGAACCAAAAATCAAAATAAATCCGCGAAATAATCCGAAAAGAGAGTTTTATTTTAAATAGTATAGATTTCTTAGAGATGAGATATTTTCCACCAGTAAAAGGTATCCTATATGTTGACCCGGATAACCAGCTATCATCATACCGAATTTTATCAAAATCTGTACAGTGGTTTTCTCGTGATGCGTTCCCAGGCAGACAAAAATTCTAAAAACTATAGATTCGGTCTCTGTATCGATAATAATGTTTCAATAATATTTGCCAAAATATATTTAATTTACAGATTCGAATCGGTTATATTATTATATTACGAGTACATGTTTAAATATTATAAAATAAACAATCGAAATCAAGGCTAGAATTTGTCCTTGACATTTGGCCGCATTAATTTTACTAAAATTATTTAATATTTATATTTATTAAAAATTCATATAACAATATTGTAGTTCAAGGTTGTTCACTTGTTCGGAAATCTGGCAAATAATTTATTTCAATTTCTAAGTTGCAAGTTTGAAGATTTTAATTATTTAACCTGATAAATTACTATAGTTCCATTTTTAAAGGTTGAAAGCAGTTCTAAAGCGTAAGCTTATTTTTATATTGTAGAATTATCTGCATCCTATCGGCAAATGACGCTCTGTATTCTGTAGGAACTACAAAAACGAGCTAAACCGTTATAAAAAAAAAGGTTAGGATAGCTTTCTTTTCACATGAATTGGAAATACTCCGTGTAAAGTTTTTCAATACGCCGAGTCTGTTAGCCAGACAGCTTAGGTTAGCCTATATAGAATGTGTATTTATAAACAGTTACTTTTCATAGAAAATATAGAAAACATATTTAAAACTAGCGAGTCACCCTTACTTCTCTTGGGTTTATCCCTAGGTGTTTTTTTTTAAATCGACATAACTTTTTTATTTATGAACTGATTGAAATAAAGCAAATACTAAATGTTAAGTAAAACCCATCACAATACATTAGTGAAAACCGCACCCAAATCGGTTAAGCCGTTTTTGAGTTTAGCGAGAACAAACGCACAGACAAACAGACATAAAATATAAAAATCATTGTTTTGGGTTTTATTACGTTAATAAAGACCCCCAATAACAGTTTTTCTCAATTTCTTACATATATCTTCCATGTACAGACAACGATCAGTTACAATTTTATTATATGAATAGATATAGATATACGTTCGCTACAAACGTAAACACAGGCTGCAGTCTGTCTGTGAAAGTTGTCTAACAATTTACTTTTCCTTCTAGTGTAATGGCAAATAAATCATTTGGTATCGGGCCGCACTACACTAGGTAAATAATATTATTATTTCAAGTGGTGTTAGTGTGGATCAATTGCTACCCTTCTGGAACAGTGGTATTATCAAATAAATACATTATGAAAATGGACATCGTCAGTTCGAACTCTTACTTACCCTCGCTTAGCTCGAGTGCGTCCCTAGATACCAAACAGTAGCCTATATGTTACTCAAGGTTACTGTATCTATATTCTAAATTTCTTCAAAACCCGTCATCAAACAAAATTATCACAGTAGTCTGATATGTTTCTTAGTTCTTAAAAAATGAAATATTGGAACCAACACTTATTTCCTTAATAACTTACCATAAAAATTAAAGATGGTACGGGAGTAAGCCGCTTTATATCAATTAGAGAAATCGCAAGTGGCAAATGACCATTTCTTGCTCCAACGAAAAAGAGCCTTGAAGATGCGTATATTGCTCCGTTAAGAGATCCAAATGTGCATAAAGCTACGAAGAGAGGCATAATCCAAGACATCACGCCAAGTATTTTTTCACTAAAAGTAACAGCAACAGCTTCTGAGGAACGTATCTCGTCGTTAGAGAGCACTATGAAGTATGCAACATTGGTTAATGCGTAGACTAGTGTGACCACCGGCATTGATATGCAAATTGCACGTGGAAGATTCCTGCAATAAAGATAATTCTAAAATTAACCGTGGTATAAATGAATAATGCCAACAATTACTAAAGGACTCCAACGAAGCAAGATTGAATCACGTGATAAAGTTTGTACGTGGAAAACTTTTTTTATTAAATTCATTAGGATGTGACTTGGTAACATTCAAAATTATTTTATTTTAATATTTGTTTCCTCGTACTGTCGATATACAGGTCTATTATAGTATAATAGTTACAAGCTAAATAGCGCAGTCCCAAGCAAAGCTAGTTCGACCTTTACGACACTTTTAATAATTATTTACTAAGAGCACTTCATGCGACGTCATCATAAGTTCCAAGCGATCATAAGTGTTAAGGAATGTACTTATTAAGTAGGTAGTTCGTATGCACTCTTATGAAGGGGTCCTATATACATATATAATGGACATTCCTTGAGGTTTGGGGTTGCCTAGTACTTGTGATCATGGGCAATGGGGGGTGTAAGGGGGTGCACCCGCCTGCCATGGAGTAAATTATAGAAAAAGTTTAAGAAATATTTTTTTTGTTAAGGAATACATTTTTTAAGAAATTTGTGTGCACTGTGTGCAGGCCTTTCTTCATTGAGCTTTATCATGTTCAATGTACTTTATAATGATCTAATTTATGAGCCAAGGGCAGACAGCGAAAGAACTTTGTTCCTACTGGGTGTCCCACAACAGATCTCGACTTTTTTTTCTGATACCTTCTATTAGCTCCTCTTATAATATTAAAAATAATTTTTAACTTACTTATAAGGCTCCTTAAGTTCTTCTGTCACGAAATTTAGATAGTTCCAGCCAGAATATGAAAATAATCCAGTATAGAAGGCAATAGAAATGTCGCCAGGCTTCGTAATGGTACCTTGCATTATAGATTCAATATTTTCAGTATGTCCGGAACACAGGTACCAAACGCTAGCGAAGAATGGTACCAATAAAGCTAATATCTTCGCCACCGTGAAAGAATCTTGCACTCGGGTCACCCATTTCACGTTGAAACAATTAAGTGCGGTAAGAAAACCTGTAAGTTTTTATTAATTTTTTTAAGTCCATGAGAAAATAACAATATATTATCTCTTGGCGGTAATTTGATTTTGCTAGTATGTAGCTGTTTTCGGTGTTGAAGATGGCAAAATTTGTGAAGAAGTTTACAGTAATGCAGTCAGTTAGCGACTTGTCGATAGATAGATGCGGTCAGGCTATGTGAACTTGGTACCCGACTTTGGAAAAATGGTTCTTTTTTAGGTTTATTTGAACGATTTCGGTTAGTAGTAGATAGTAGTGAAGCTAACTTCGTTTGTAGTAGTGCCAGAAAAAAAATACAGACAACAAAAAAAATGTCATCCCCCGAAGTTAGTAAAAAAAATTTTTTCCGCTTGATTCGTATAGAAAAACGTTAGTAGTGGTTTGTAGTGATTTTTTTCGTTTGTAGTAAAACAAAAAAAAATTTTTTTTCGAGTATTTTTGCAGAACGATTTTTACTACATACATTCATTGGTTCGTTTGTAGTACCATTATTTCATTTGTAGTAACGTTAATTTTGGTTTGTAATACCATTACTTCGTTTGAAGTAACGTTAATTTCGTTTGTAGTAACGTTAATTTCGTTTGTAGTAACGTAGATTTCGTTTGCAGTACCACTATTACGTTTGTAGTACCATTATTTCGTTTGTAGCTGTTTGTAGTAACGTTAATTTCGTTTGTAGTACCATTATTTCGTTTGTAGTTGTTTGTAGTAACGTAAATTTCGTTTGTAGTAACATTATTTTGTTTGTAGTTGTTTAAAGTAACCTTAATTTCGTTTGTAGTACCATTATTTCGTTTGTAGTACTATTATTTTATTTGTAATGGTTTGTAGTAACGTTAATTTCGTTTGTAGTGCCATTATTTTATTTGTAATGGTTTGTAGTAACGTTAATTTCGTTCGTAGTACCATTATTTCGTTTGTAGTACCATTATTTAGTTTGTAGTACCATTACTTCGTTTGTAGTACCATTATTTCGTTTGTAGTTGTTTGTAGTAACGTTAATTTCGTTTGTAGTACCATTATTTCGTTTGTAGAACCATTATTTCGTTTGTAGCTGTTTGTAGTAATGTTAATTTCGTTTGTAGTTGTTTGTAGTAACGTTAATTTCGTTTGTAGTACCATTGTTTCGTTTGTAGTAACGTTAATTTCGTTTGTAGTACCATTATTTCGTTTGTAGTTGTTTGTAGTAACGTTAATTTCGTTTGTACAATCATTATTTCGTTTGTAGCTGTTTATAGTAATGTTAATTTCGTTTGTAGTACCATTAATTCGTTTGTAGTTATTTGTAGTAACGTTAATTTCGTTTGTAGTACCATAATTTCGTTTGTAGTTGTTTGTAGTAACGTTAATTTCGTTTGTAGTACCATTCTTTCATTTGTAGTACCATTACTTCGTTTGTAGCTGTTTGTAGTAATGTTAATTTCGTTTGTAGTACCATTATTTTATTTGAAGTTGTTTGTAGTAACGTTAATTTCGTTTCTAGTACCATTGTGTCGTTTGTAGTACCATTATTTCGATTGTAGCTGTTTGTAGTAACGTTAATTTCGTTTGTAGTACCATTGTTTCGTTTGTAGTAACGTTAATTTCGTTTGTAGTACCATTATTTCGTTTTTAGTTGTTTGTAGTAACCTTAATTTAGTTTGTAATACTATTATTTTGTTTGTAGTTGTTCGAAGTAACCTCAATTTCGTTTGTAGTACTATTATTTCGTTTGTAGTACCATTATTTTATTTGTAATGGTTTGTAGTAACGTTAATTTCGTTTGTAGTGCCATTATTTTATTTGTAATGGTTTGTAGTAACGTTAATTTCGTTCGTAGTACCATTATTTCGTTTGTAGTACCATTATTTCGTTTGTAGTTGTTTGTAGTAACGTTAATTTCGTTTGTAGTACCATTATTTCGTTTGTAAAACCATTATTTCGTTTGTAGCTGTTTGTAGTAATGTTAATTTCGTTTGTAGTACCATTGTTTCGTTTGTAGTAACGTTAATTTCGTTTGTAGTACCATTATTTCGTTTGTAGACCCATTATTTCGTTTGTAGTACCATTCTTTCATTTATAGTACCATTACTTCGTTTGTAGCTGTTTGTAGTAATGTTAATTTCGTTTGTAGTACCATTATTTCGTTTGTAGTTGTTTGTAGTAACGTTAATTTCGTTTGTAGTACCATTGTTTCGTTCGTAGTACCATTAATTCGTTTGTAGTACCATTATTTCGTTTGTAGATGTTTGTAGTATCGTTAATTTCGTTTGTAGTACCATTATTTCGTTTGTAGTAGCATTATTTCGTTTGTAGTTGTTTGTAGTAACGTTAATTTTGTTTGTAGTACCATTGTTTCGTTTGTAGTAACGGTTATTTCGTTTGTAGTACCATTATTTCGTTTGTAGTTGTTTGTAGTAACGTTAATTTCGTTTGTAGAATCATTATTTCGTTTGTAGCTGTTTGTAGTAATGTTAATTTCGTTTGTAGTACCATTAATTCGTTTGTAGTTATTTGTAGTAACGTTAATTTCGTTTGTAGTACCATAATTTCGTTTGTAGTTATTTGTAGTAACGTTAATTTCGTTTGTAGTACCATTCTTTCATTTGTAGTACCATTACTTCGTTTGTAGCTGTTTGTAGTAATGTTAATTTCGTTTGTAGTACCATTATTTTATTTGAAGTTGTTTGTAGTAACGTTAATTTCGTTTGTAGTACCATTATTTCGTTTGTAGTTATTTGTAGTAACGTTAATTTTCTTTGTAGTACCATTGTTTCGTTTGTAGTAACGTTAATTTCGTTTGTAGTACCATTATTTCGTTTTTAGTTGTTTGTAGTAACCTTAATTTAGTTTGTAGTACTATTATTTTGTTTGTAGTTGTTCGAAGTAACCTTAATTTCGTTTGTAGTACCATTATTTTATTTGTAATGGTTTGTAGTAACGTTAATTTCGTTTGTAGTACCATTATTTCGTTTGTAGTTGTTTGTAGTAACGTTGATTTCGTTTGTAGTACCATTATACGTTCGTAGTTACTACAAACGAAATTAACGTTACTACAAGCAACCACAAACGAAATTATGGTACTACAAACGTAATAGTGGTACTGCAAACGAAATCTACGTTACAACAAACGAAATTAACGTTACTACAAACAGCTACAAACGAAATAATGGTACTACAAACATAATAGTGGTACTGCAAACGAAATCTACGTTACTACAAACGAAATTAACGTTACTACAAACGAAATTAACGTTACCGCAAACGAAGTAATGGTACTACAAACCAAAATTAACGTTACTACAAATGAAATAATGGTACTACAAACGAAACAATGAATGTATGTAGTAAAAATCGTTCTGCAAAAATACTCGAAAAAAATTTTTTTTTTTGTTTTACTACAAACGAAAAAAATTGCACTACAAACCACTACTAACGTTTTTCTATACGAATCAAGCGGAAAAAATTTTTTTACCAACTTCGGGGAATGACATTTTTTTTGTTTTTGTTTGTATTTTTTTTTTGGCACTACTACAAACGAAGTAAGCTTCACTACTATCTACTACTAACCGAAATCGTTCAAATAAACCTAAAAAAGAACCATTTTTGCAAAGTCGGGTGCCAAGTTCACATAGCCATGCGGTCACCGTCAATAGATAACGTTATTGTTATAAAAGTTGTAGTTTTGAACGTTAAAAACTATTGGTTTTTACATTTATTATTAATGTAAATTTTTAAACCATTAATTTATATAACTCTCTTAGAAATACCCGAGAACTAGAGATATGATAGGTTAATAAAATATATATATCTTATAGCATTAAATGAGTAATTTTTGTACATCTATAAAATATAAGAAATTATTTCATGTATCGCGAAACCGGCTCTAATGATTTAGATCAAGTTTTATATTTAGATTAAAAGGCTTTGCTTTTTAAGTCTATCCATACGAGTATGTAGGTATCTTTTCTGAAAAACTGCAATTTTAATATCTTTTCCGAAAAACACCGAGCGAAGCTTGGTCGCCCAAGACTTATCATAATGTTTGATAAATAATACTATTATTTCAGTTATTGTACATATGTGTTTGGGTTTTATCAGTATAAATAATAATAATAAACACATTGATTTGTTACAGTCTAAAATGTAAGTTCCATAAAATTTATTAACTTTAATTCCTCACCAATGAAACGTGATGTATAAATAGGTACTACGTGGTGATAGAAAATTCAATTTTTGATATTATATTATTGTTAAAATTGGAATTTTCTATAACTTATAAAAAATATCTACATTTTATCCATTTCAAGCTTTACGAGCAGGGATAAAATACGATAATGAACATAGTTAAAAATATTTACGAAGGCGTTATTCTACGAAGGTAATAAATCAATTAAAATGGAAACTAATCTCAAACTCTAAGCATTTACTAGTAAGAGGAAAATTATCAATATTTGCTTTATATAAGTATTATATACGCCAATATTGTGCTTCATATTATGTTCAAAAAATAGAATTTTGTACAAATTTGTATAAGAATTGTATCCGTTAGTAAAAAAACAAGTAGAATTACAACAAGTCATTACACGCCCTTACGTTAGGTGTACGATCGGATAATTTCGCACAAGAGTACGTGTCATGATGCGGGAGGAAGCCGTCATTATCTTGTCAGGCACAATCAGTAATGCGCGCCACTACAGCGACGACATAAAGACGAGGATAGGTGACAATGTGATGCCCTGGAACGGCGAGACTGAGGCATTCATTCATTGTTATCTTATATTCAACAATAGTACCACGTCCATTGATATTAAGAAGGAATACATTTATACATACAGATAATACTTACGTATTTACTTATAAGTAGTCTTATCGCTAAAATGCAGTTCATTGGTATTCCCACCAATCTTGATTTGAATGATTCGGTTGAAATTTTAATTTTTGAATTCTAAGAATCGATGATCATTTATCATTGTCGCTTGTAAATTTTTAATAAGTAACGGTGTAAAAAAGAAATGCAAGCATGTACTTTAAGTTCGTGGAACAGGTCTGTCCGGGGGTTACGTTGGACTCGTAATTCCCGCAGAGAACAGTACCTATATGTAGTTTCACATATCCTTCTGATATTCGTTATGAACTTTATTTTAATGCCATTGCGATTGAAATCCTTATAATCCCAAGTAACAATGATTGAATCTCAGTAAAGCCTCTGTAGAGCTTATAAAAATATTTTTATTGTACTTAAAACACAAATTATTTACGAAGACATCCGAATGCAAATTTAAAGTTGAAGAAAAAGAAAAGTAATTAATATCTTTTAGTTCGTGGAATAGCGATACTTGGAAACTTCAAGTTAAAATTACGAAGTTTGATTTGCAATCTTTATAAAGTATCTACTGATATTACGGACTTTTGACTAAATACAAATGCATGCACTACAGTACCACTTCTAGGTAAACACATCGGTAAATATTTGTTCAGTGATAACTTAGGGCGTGTAGCGTAGCTATGCCAATTCAACCAATGCAGTGGCATGGGGCCCCTGATTCAGCCTCAGCGGGTCACAAACTATTCTTTTATTTCAAAAAATTTTTTCGAGAACGGCCCTCATAGAATTAAAAAAACACAAGAAAAAAGTGTCCTAAATTTCCGCATTTTATTTCATCTTGATTAGGGCCTTATAAGACTGGACAATGGACATTTAATGATTTAAATACCTAAGTATGATGTATCGTGTGTGTAATCCTTTCAAAAGGTACTTAAATTTAAGTTGAAAACCCAGAATAATTCTTATAATTTGGCCAAATAAAGAAATATTATGAAATATTTACATTAAAATAATTATCTTTTAATATACTTTTAAGTTTTAATACGTTACAGGTAATAAGGGGGTACGTAAAGAGTTTAATAAAATATAAAAAAAAAATAATAAATATCTAAATACTTATGTACCCAGTTTGCGTAATATAGTAACTACTAACTACTCTATTGTCTTGTTGCGCTTAGTTTACTTAACCTCACTCTAGTTAAGCGTAGCATGCGTGTTATAACGTAGATGTGCCTCTTTAACGGGTTACTATTTTTAACCTAATAACAACTTAACATAGTGCGATCTTTATCTATACCTACAGATAAAAAAAATTGAAGTGTCTGTTTGTACTGTTAAAATAACAGCTTTTTACTAAATGCATATGGAATTATATACGGTATTTATAAGAAAAACACAATTTTTAAAATTTTTGTCTGCCTGTCTGTCTGTTTGTTCCAGCTAATCTCTGAAACGGCTGGGCCGATTTTGACGGGAATTTCACTGGCACGTAGTTAATGTTATAAGGAATAGGTAACTTAGGCTAATTTTATTTCAGTAAAAGAATTAGGGTTCCGCTCAAAAAAATTAAAATGTACCTAGGGACGAACCCGAGCGAAGCACGGGTGAGACGCTAGTTAATATTATAAATGAGGGAGCGAACCTATATTTTATTGGTTTACCTTTCTTCAAGAAGCATGGGTTCTATTTTTTTGCGAAGACAATTTAATGGACAGAGTGTGTCATAACTTGCATTTATTGCGGTATATCAAATGGATGGGATATTAGTTCGTTGTAAAAATTTACTTAGAAAAGCACCTGTGTAGCGCCCCAGCGAGGGAGGGTCACTTGCCTTCAACTTGCATTAAATTATGTTGATTACATTAAAGCTATAGAATATTAGAATTACCAATGACGTCATGTTTAACAATTAATTATCGTATATCATGTGCGATATATTATGTACCTAAAGCATGGATTTACACGTTTTTAGTTTATAGAGGCGGTTTATTTTTAACTGCTTGCTGTAAAAATAGCTTTGTTGCATATATTCACTTTTATAAAATGAATTGAAACTTTGTGAGGAATTACTATCCAAAGCTCATAGCCACTTAACCTGCCCAGTTAACTATAAGCCATTATAAAAAAAATCTACCCAGTTAGCCTGCACGGTAAAGCCGCATATAATCATAGCTCCTAAAGATATATATAAATACAGTGTAAGCTCTACATAGCGAACTCTATTTAACGAAAAACTCCTTAAAACGTAGATATTGTTAAGTTTTGTTTGGTTTACATTGTTACCCATATATTAAAACACTCTATATAACGTAACAATCGCTCTTAACCGCGAAAAAATAAGTCATTATTTAGACCTCAATAGACATACTTGACTAGACTTCAAACACAATACGGACATAGAGTTTTAAATATTTTGGACGCACAATACATAGAAATGTGTTCATTGTTTATTGTAATTGCTTAGCACATATTTATTACTTCACTTCCCTATTGTCGTCTTTTTGGTTTTAATATTCTTAGTTGCAAACTTGAACTGTAAACATGCCGAGTAAAAGAAAGACTTTGTGTATTGACAAAAAAGTGACATTAATTCACGGGATAGAAAAGAGAGAGAGAAGATATTGGCATATTAAAAAAACGACAAACAAAATTAGCCGATTATAATTTTGTTCTGTAAATAAAGTAGGTACATAGTATGTACTAAATTCTATGTTTGTGTTTTAAATTTCCTTACTCTCCGTTTAACGAGAACTCTTTAACCTATATAACGAACGAAAAAAATACTCGGTCCCTTCAATTTCGCTATATAGAGTTTACACTGTATTATTTACACATGATATTATAATACTACACGTTTAGGTACCTCCAGCAACTCCACTTGACACGTTAAACTAGACGATTTAGGTGGTATCCAACGAAAATAATTTTAACGAAGGGAATTTTTATTTTTCCCGTTGTAACAAAATTAAATTCGCCGATTAAAATGTGCATTTTTGAAAAAAAATATAAAAATGATAATTTTTGTCTTGTGCGAAAATAACTGTCGTCTTAATTGGGCAGTATTCGTAAGACGTATGTATATAAATATAAAAATATTTAAGACTGCACGATGACTTATATTGCTAAGTTACATTCAATTTTTTTTCATAAAGTAATAAAAATTTGTAATCTAAAATTAATGTGTCTAGGTATATCAATAGCATTTTGATTTTAAAGACATTTTAGGTGAAATCTCATATTATACTCATACTTACACGTGACTACTGCAGCAATAAGGCTGACAGCATCCGCGGGAGGGTCACAAGCGGGCCAAAGAGGCTGAAGTATGTTCTGTGCAAACGTCAGCGCTGTAATAGCGTTTCCTGTTGGCACCAGTATGAATAGCGCCACCCATAAGTAAAGGAAAGCAGGTAGATCTCCAAACGCTTCTCCAAGGTACGCGTAATCACCACCCGATTTTGGTATCATTGTACCTAAAATAAATTAGAATATTATATCCATTGCATGATGTCCAACAAAACAAAGATAAAACCATGTAAAAACATCGAAAGCCATTTAACTAATAGTAGCCTAGTCGAGAAGTTCAATATCTCCGAAAAATAATTAGAAAAGTCCGAAAATTATGGCCGTTTAGGCTCGAGCGCTTCGTCGCTTGAGAGTATAACCAAAATACAAAAAAAGTTTGAATGTAAAATTTTAACTTAAAAATTAATAAAAAATTGTGTAATCTGGACACTTTATAGAGTCAAGTTCCGAGAGAAAGAATTTTTTCATCAATTTTTCAAAAAGTTACCCCATTGTTAATAAATACACTTTTCACAATGCTCTGTATATATAAAAATCATCATAAAATTTTAAATAATTATGCTAAAAATCTAAAACTTTTTAGAAGCTTTCTTATATAAGTACTTAATAAAATCATAATGAAAAAGTATGTAAAAAGTGATTTATTTTATTAGTTATTAACTAGTAAACATTACAAAAATTAAGAATTTTTCATTTTTCTACATTTTTTGTAATGTTTACTAGTTAATAAATAATAACTAATAAAATAAATAACTTTTTATAAGCTTTTCCCTTAAAATTATTGATTGTTTTGTATATATAATTAAGAATATTTGTAATTTCCTTTATTGGAAATAAAATATATTATACTACCTTTAAAAAAAAATTATAGGGCTTGGGTTCTGGGAGATGAGATTTTTTTTAGGATTTTCTTCTTTTTTGAGAATCTTTTTGTTGATTTCTGCTATCCTTTACCGTTTTCAAGTTATAAATAAAAAAATGAGGCTTTTTTCGTTTCAGTTTTTTGTTCACAACAATTGCTTTTTTTTTAGAATTTTATTCGGCGTCTAATGAGCCATCGCCCATAAATTTCTGACTTTTCTAACTATTTTTCGTAGATATTAAACTTCTCGACTAGACTATACTATTTATGGCTAAAGGTACTCGGTGTAGCTATATTTATAGAAACTTAATAAGTAGATATTATAACTTCTTTAAACAGCTCATCATACAAAATTTTAGTACATGTCGTTAAAAGAATTTAAGTAAGTAAAATTACTTATTATAATTTCTTGTTATTTAAGATCATCGACCTTGCCCAAATCTGAAACACAAACCTGTCATACCACCCTGTCAAGAATTTTCTTGCACAGGGTGGTATGGCAGGTTTGTGAGCAGTTCGAAGAAAACGCAGAACATTAAAATCATGGGTTTTCGTACGCTTCAGGACAATGACCTTGAATTACATTATTTAATGGTGAAGTCAAAGGAAAGGGACTCATTCTAAAAGCTGATGCAATATTTCGTAAGCTAAAATATTCAGTAGTAGTAAGTATATTTTTAGGAAACTGGCACTTTCACTGATAATTATTAGATAATAATTTAATCATTCTTCATCTTGTCTATACATATAATAAACTTCTAACTAAGTCGAATCTGTACGTTAAATATTTTTTGGAAAATCTTATTGCAATAGACATTATTATCGATACAGAGGCCGAATCTATAGCTTTTAGAATTTTTGTCTTTCTGGCTGGCTGTCTGTCTGTCTGTCTGTTACCGCATCACAGAAAAACTACTGGAGGGATTTTGATGAAATTTAGTATGATGATAACTGGTTATCTGTGTCAACATATAGGATACTTTTTATTGCGGGAAAATATGTCATCTCTGAGAAAAAATACAAAAACTGCATTGTAAGAGTATACTAATATGTAAAACCTAAGAATTTGGTTTTCGGTCATTTGAACGCGGGCGGGGCCGCGGGCAATGCTAGTTAATTCATATACTAATAAGAGTAGATATAATATGGATAGCAAAGTTTTATTATAGTTAGATAATTCTTATCTACGTCTTCATTAAAGAAGCTTTCGTGAAGCCTATTGTAACGCATGTGTATTTACGCTTGATTGAAAAAAAAATGAAAATTGTTATTTTCGGTTCTATTTCCATCATAAGGACGCCGGCAATATGTTTTATTGTAAATATATTCATTCACATTTCACATAATCATTACCCGTTTCTGAAAAAGTTTCTTTATTTGTCGTCAATTGAATGGTGGAGGAGAATCTAAAATAAGTTTGTCTGATTGTCGATACTCTCAAATCTAAATTAAAACATAAATAAGCACGCAAACAAAAGTGCTAAGAAAAAAATGTAAAAAATATGTAGTAAACATAAATTTTATCTCATTATTGAACCTTTTTTTATTGTAATTGTACTTTTAATTCAAATTCTCATTTATATACAATTTATCATTTTTATTAGGTAACTAAGTATGAATTTTAGTTTATAGAAATATGGATACCTCCATACTAAAATAAAATTGAAAGGTTCTCAAATAGTGTAAGCACAAATTATTAGGTAATTGAAATTTTATTATCCTAATTTAAAGTAAATGGTATAAAATGAATATATTGTATAGTGTTTATTATATTTTGCATAAACTTACTTATGTTTATGTACTTAAATAATAATTGACACAATTCAAATATACTCACTGTCTTATTAGTATTCAGGAGGAAACCGGAGTGATATTAATATAATTTTAAAAATAGATATCTTCATTATAGGTACATATCGCACGATGCGTACTATAGTAGGTAATAAACATTATTTCACATAAACAAATACTATTATAGGAGGTTACTTTATGAATTCGGTCTATACTAATAACTATAAAATTTTAATTATTAATTAACAATAAATATAAAACAGCAAACAAATAACAACTAATCAATTAACTCATAAATAATTCAGGTTTAATATCTAATTCATTTTACTGTTTCATGTCTCAAACGCAACTTATAGGATCAGTCGTGTTACGTGTACCTATCTATATGTTTGTCTGTCTATCCATTTTCTCTTGAATTATTCGTATCGAATATGTCGGATATTGAAATTATATAGGTCATTTATGGAAAAAAAGTCTTATTAGAAAATGCAAGTATTTAATTAAAAAAAGATTGTTCTATGATTGATAGGAAAATGATGTTGATGACTTACTAATTATTAACACTTACCTAATTCTGCATAGCAAAGCGCTCCAATCATCGATAGGAACCCGGAAAGTACCCATACTATTAGGGCCATGCCCTTCGAACCTGCGTGCTTCAAGGCCAGACTGGGGGATACGAAGATTCCGGACCCCACGATAACTCCAACAATGATCGCCACTCCATTCATTAAACTCAATTCTTTTTTCAATCGAACCCCTTCATTTGAATCGGATTCTACTGTTTCACCTACATCCATAGGCTTAGGTGTAAGCCCCTCCTTAGCTGATACTTTGGCCATATTTAATAAATCCAGTCAAATCAGTCTCAAAAATATCGATAACCTTCACTTTTTATTCAAATTGTTCAACATGTTAAACACATGGTTTAAATATCGAAGTTTGCTGCGGGAACTGTGATCCTCCGTCACGCAAACATTGCATCACACTGCGCTAAACACCGCGGGAAACACCACGTGCGATCAAAAACACCATCGGCCAGCCTTTCCTTGATAATAACGTCGGTTTACCACTAAACAGATGCTGATAACACCGTAAAATAGTTCACTGTATTATAATTTAGTCCATAAATATCCTTACAGTAAGGTTAAAATATACAAAAAATATGTCGAAGGCCACCGTATGAATCGTATTAAAGTAAATCTCTCCCTAATTTTACGTATAATTTAAAAGAATTTAATTAGTTCATGAGTAATACGGGAAATTTATTTGCCGGTAACGATCGTAAGCAGAGCTCAACGCGACGCGGAGTACACGTTCAACGCTCCCCGTCCCCACTTTACTATTCATTTTATTTCCAAGTTAACCACGAGTCCGACAGTCTACCGCCAGTACATGAGTCAAATAAGAAAATAGCACAAATCATTATATTTATACAGCAATGTAGAGCTTAAGCCTATTATTTTAAAGAATATTTTTGAATCATACATTATTTCTCGAATTCATTGCCAAGTTTGAACAACTGGTTTTAGGCTTTGGCTGTCTCTTTCACGTCTCTTTTAACCACGTGTACGTTTGGCACACTTTTTATAAATATAAAACTTGCCCGATAACACAGTTATCCTGTTTAGTGATAAGCCATGTGAGATGAGATTACAGTGATTGTTAATGTATGTATAGAGGATGTGATCAATTCTTTTATAAAGCCATATGGGGTCAATGACAACGCTCTTAGTTCGCAATATGTTTCGAGTTTGAAATTCTATTATAGTTTTATTATAAAACATAGCTAATTATTAAAGTTTATTCTTAAATATATTTAAAAAATTGTTTAAAAATTTAGACACTATGTATTAATTTTTCTAAAGATGTTTTCTTATCGATTTTCTTTTAAAACCAGACTCTTTAAGTTTGATTTTGTTTTTTTAACTCTACATCTATAAATCTAATGAATGTTTAGAAAAATAAGCTTTATACGAAGAGAAAATTGGTTCATTCGTTTAGAGTTCCGGACATAGAGCAGTAAAAACATTCAACATTCATAGGACCATCTTTGTGTACGATTGTGACACCCTGTTCGTTCCAAAAATACGAAAAGTTGATATTCGGTACATATTATGTAGAGTGAACAGTGAATCGATAGTTAATTTATTGGTTGATATATCAAAAAGATTAGATTATTATGAGGAATAATTGTTAAATACTACTAATATATACAATACACGTATATTTTAAAAAGTACACAGTAAAAATATTGTGCATTCTTCATTGTCAATCTCTGCAAGTACTTGACCTATGGCATTTAAAAATAAAATAAAACCGGCTAAGTGCAGTCGGACTCGCGCACGAAGGGTTCCGTACCATTATCTATAAAAACGGAAAAAAATCATGTCTGTTGTATGTTAGCCCCCCTTAAATATTTGTTTTATTATAATTTAATTATTTATTTTTAAAGGGAATATATAACTAAATATTCTGTAAATATTTTAAGCGTCTACCTGTTGCAGTTGCATCAATATCGAGCAAAAATAAGCAATAAAATCACGTTGTATGGGAGCCCCCTTACATATTTATTTTATTGTTTTTTAGGATTTGTTGTTATAGCGGGAACAAAAATACATTATCTGTGAAAATTTCAACTATCACGGTTCATGAGATACAGCCTAGTGACAGATGGATGGACAGCGGAGTCTTAGTAATAGGGTCCTGTTTTACCCTTTGGGTACGGAACCCTAAAAACAATATGTCTGAAAAAATTATTACGAAGAAAGACACTATTTAAACAGTCGCATTTTAATGACCCGTTTTGTTTAATGTTTCTGCCATTTTTTCTATGGTCGTATTCTATTCTTATAGGAAAATTGTTTTAAAATAGATGCTTATCTCGGTCTATTTACGACAAAGCGTGGTATTGAAAACCAACACCGTACGTACCTACGCGTTGTTACGCATTGATAAGTTTATTTCGCTGTATATTGAATACTTACAAATTATGAGATTATTATGTATAGTTTTTTCTTTAAAATCGCAAGAAAATAAAATCTTTCTACAATTTTACTAAAGATAACCAAAATCCTTGATTTCATTCAGTTTTCGCTAACATTACGTTACACGAGGAGTTAAAACACGTTAAACAGTACTGCCGTCATAAGAAAGGAGACTAAGTTCGTCATAGTTGATTTCGAGATATTTGGAGTTTACTACTACGTCAAAAATCAAAATTACTACTAGTTTTGACGTAGTTACGATGAAAATGGTTATGGTATCTCCGGATTCATAAGATTTAGATGTTTATGAGTAAGACTATCAGTAGCATTTTTTTTTGCTGATTCCGAATCTTCATTTAAGTCATTTTTGACCAAATTGTTAGTTACGGCCTTCTTTCTAATGACGGCAGAGTTATGAGGATGTTATGTTATTACAGAGTCAGGGGATGTAAGAAGACAAATAGAACAAATCCGGATTTTTTTCAAATTTTTTGTTTCTTTGTCTGTTTGTACGGGCTAATCTCCGAATCTATTGGACTGATTTGAATGAAATTTTGCATGGTGGTACCTTATATCTCCGGTCAACATCTTAGATACTTTTTATCCCGGAAAATTAAATAGTTCCCGTGGGATAGTCAAAAAACTATAATAACTTATACAGCTTAGTACACAACAACTTATGCACCTAATTTAGTAAAATTTAACATTCTGATACCTTATATTACCGGTCAAACAACAGGTTACTTTTCATCCCGGAAAAACGGACGGTTCCCGTGGGAAATAATAGATCTCTATTAGTGTTTTTCAACATATAAAGCAATAAATAACTATAAGTACTTGTACATACAGTAATATGTAGTAATTAGTGTTTACTAATTACCTAAACTAATGCTACTCAAATACCAATGTATAATAGGTACATTACATACAATTAGTATTTACTGTATTATTTTTAGTAATGTGATGTTCTCCTAGCCGATTCCGGCCACGGCGGCCAATCTCAATGAGATTAGCCAACTGCGCAGGAGATATTATAGTGCTCAAGTGTACGCGCAGACACAAGTGCACTCTCTATTCCTATCACTCTCATACTCCGGTGGGACGACCACTCGACACGACCGGTGAGAGTTAAGGCGCAGGACCGACGGCTTTACGTGCTCTCCGAGGCACGGGGGTGAAACACCGCCAACTTCCCAACTCCGGGCTGTTACTGAGACTTACTATACAGGAAGATTCAATAACTAAACTTGGCCCGACCCGGGACTCGAACCCAGGACCTCCGGGTGTGCAACCGTACATGCTAGCCACTACACCACCGAGGCAGTTATTTTAGTAATGTATAGTATGCATATTAAAAGAGGTATTTTAACGTTTGAATATAAATGATGAAAACAACAGTTCCAGATAGTCTTCTGGTAAAATATGACTATATTCAATTTCTAGTGGAAATTTGACTCTATGCCATAAATTATAAAAATAACGAAATAAATTACACATTTATTATATTTAATAAGAACTGTATTTAAAATTAATATATATATTATGTATAATACATAAATAACTTAAAGCTACATTATATATTAATTATCTGTATTTTCTGGATATTTAAAAATCCTAGCCGTGCCGTCGTCGGAAGTGGTAAGGAATATGTTTTCTTTTTTATTGTATGTTAAGTCCATTATTGCCGACCAATGTCCTGTGAGGCCAAACTTTAATTCGCCAGATCTTGCATCATAAATACGTATGGTTCCATCCAAACACCCAGTAACGAGTTGGTCGTTCACCCACATCATTCTTGTTACTCCAGCAGCAAATTCGTCATCTATTTTAGCGCAGTGATGGCGAATCATCTGCCTAGCCGTGTCCCATATCGTTACAGAGCCATTTAAAGTACCTAAAAAATAAATAAATAAAAAATGTAATCTATACATACAGTAAAATTCTAAGCCTTATCTGTACATTAAATATTTTTTGGAAAATCTTATTGAAATAGACATAATTATCGAGACCAAATCTATAGTTTTTAGAATGTTTGTCTCCCTGTCTGTCTGTCTGTGACCGCATCACGAAAAACCACTCGACATTTTGATAAAATTTGGTATGATGATAGCTGGTTATCCGGGACAATTTATAGGATACTTTTTGCTGTGAAAAAATATTTTATCTCTTCAGCTAAACGTTAAAACGTAACTACCAGAACCCGAGTGGAGCGAGCGTGAGTCGATAGTTTATATAATATATGTAATATATTATATAGGTGCATTAAAATAAAACCCATTAAGAGTTAAGACTAGTCCACCTTCATTTCTGAGCTAAGGTCAAATTGCAAAATGTGCATAAAAATCAAATATTACACAAAAATATCAAAATTGTAATAAGTAACACTGTTAACTTATATTTTTTTAAATATTATCATAATTCATAGCCAATTTAAAGTTAAAAATTTATCTTTTTTTGTTAATTTTTGGCATTCATGGAATTTCGCAATTTTGCAGCTTAAACATCATTCACATCTTCTTATCTTTTTTGACCCTTTAATATCTGCATAAACTAAATATGACAAGCCCAGTTTCTTATGGATAGTATTAATTAGTATAAATCAATGATTTTAGACCATAAGCATTGAGCATATAAAACATAATAATAACAAATTATTATTGTTACATTTTAAATGATATCGTAATAATAGTGTCCTTGTGATTCATTTTGGCCGAGGCGGCTAATCTCACAGAGCCTTCTTATGTAAAATTATATATAGTCCACAAGTATGCACACAAACACAAGTGCATTATCTATTTACATACATCAAGGCATCCCAACTCTAAGGTGTTATACAAAATTTCTTGACAGAAAAACCTAATAACTATTGTTGCCCTGCCCTTGAGATTTGAACCTAGGACTATTTGATATATTGAGTCGCTAGTATAGTATAAGTAAAAAAATAATTATTATTCCATACATACCTAATGCAATATTTCCCAATTTTGGATCTGGACAAAAGGAAACTGTTTCCAAGTCCAATTCTGTATTAATTTGTGCAACAATTTTACCATTGCTTGAAGTAACTAAGACCACTTTTCCTGAAATAAAAGTGTTTTATATATTTTTCTATTATATACATTCTTGTTTTTCAGCCCAAAGATAAGAAATTTTTCAAATTATTTTACAAAACCTGAAGAGAGATAATGTTAAGTATGATGTTCAAAATTTTATAAATTACCATCAGATGAAATAGATGCTAATAGGCTGTTTTCTGGATGAATGTCAAGAGCTATGATACGGTTTTCATGTACGGTAGCAGGAACTTGATGTAACACTGCACATGTTTTAAGGTCCCATATTTTAACAGTCCCATCAGTATAACCAACTGCTAGACGAACACCATCAGGAAATATCTACAATTATTAATACTATTTAGTAAACTATTATAAATTAAACACATAAAGGATATGTAAATAATAATTCTAATGTATGTAATATCGTAAAGACAGCAAAGCAAATTGCAAATTATGTTTTATAAAAAAAATTCTTTATAAAACTACATACTTTACCACATTCAGTTTTTAAGTTGTGGCCTTTTAAGACTTTAGTTTCCCCAGTGGGAATTTTGAAAACAAATATATCTCCTGCATCAGTACCACAGATGACAACTCTAGCTCCAAAGTGCCACAAGCCCCATGTAACATCACCTGTTTCATATTCAAAAACAACAGGCCAGGATTCTTTTTCATTACCTCCCAACATACATTTCCAAACTTGAACAAGTCCACCCATATCAACAGTTGCTAAATAGGCACCATCAAAGCTGAATCCCACAAATATAATAGAATCTTTATGATTAGTACATTCCATCACAACTTCCCCAGTTTCTACAGACCAAACGTAAGCTTTGTCGTCTTCACCACCTGTTACTGCCAGTTTTCCACTGGGATGAAAGTCGCAGCAAAACACTGCACCGTTGTTGTGTTTGTCGAAAGCTAAAACCGCAAGGTCTTCGGGTTTCTCTATATCTCTTTCCATTTCATCATCATCTTCTACCTCCTCCATATCATCATCGTCAAATATCTCTTCCATAACTTCAACAACTTCAACCATGTTTTCTACATCATCACCATGTGGAGATCCACTACCTTCCCGGTGATCTCTCATTTTGTCTTATTCGAACTAAAGGTAGAAATTGTGATAGAATATCGTAGTGTCTTCACTTTTAAGTTATTACGTATTTGAAATATTCAACCTATATTTATTAAAGTTTTACTGTTAATTAGTATAGAAGGCTGAAGGTTATGTTATGAAATATGAAATAATACCTAATTCGTTCACCGACCACCGTAGTGTCAATACTCAATTGTCAATATATAAATTATATACCTATCAAGTCAAATTTTATTGTCAAGGTTTATTTATCTATCCCAAACAACAAACTATTTAATGTTATCTATATTCTATGCTGTCAATGTTTAATTAAGCAAAGAGCTAAAAATTAAAAAAAAAATTGAATAAGTGAAATAAATTAATTGAAGTAAATTTAATATTAAGATATCTTTCTCTCTTTATATTCTACTAGCGACTAACTCTCGCTTCGCTCGGATTCGTCCTTTTGTTCCCCTTATAAACTTTCATTCCCATTTTGAGCCCCATAAGGGATGATTTCCGGAATAAAAAAATATTTTATGTAATTTCCAGGGTCTCAAACTAGTTACCACATCTAAATCAGTCCAATCAGTAGTTTTCGAGTTTATTCGGGTAAAGAAAAAAAAATCTTACCTTTTTATAATATTAGTGTAGTTAGTAGGTAGGTAGTGTGTTTAATGTTAACGGTTTTAATCCTTCCTCCTCTAAGTGATCAGATGTAAATGGCTGATAGATGTATGAACTACGAATTTAAAATAAGTTTTAACAAACAAGAAGTTTTTTAACGTAAGTGTTACTGTCATCATAGATAAATACAAAATTGTCGTCTGTCATAAAAAAATTTTACTTTTTAGGTTACAAAATATATGTTGTAACTGGAATAATTTTTATGTATTTGAATTGAAATATTTGTAGTTTATACTAAGAGTAAATAAGTTATTTTATTACCTTTGCATGTTAATTCATATAAATCTATAAAACAAATAATTCTGTAAATATGGCTTCAATAAACAAAGGTAGTAAGTAAAAAAAGTTATTTCGGTTGGATTTTTGTATAGTATTTTATAATTAAATTATGTTTTTAGCCTTATTACAGACTCCTGTGCCATATTTAATTGCCAGAAGATTTCGTGGAAAAATAAATGTCCAAAAACCTCGTAAACCGCATTTTGCAAGGCAACTATTAATTGATATATCAAAACCATTTTATGGACCACCAAAAAATTCTCTCCCAGAGATCTTATTATGCGGACAGGGAAAAGAGAAGAAAAAGGCTGAAATAGATAATCCTTTTGAAAGGATTTTAGCACGGGAATGTCTTGATTGGTTCAATACTTCTAAGATGGTTGTGTTTTTACATTTAAATTCAATAAGTATGGAAGAAAAAACACCCATTTTTGCTGCACTGAAAAAAAATGATATGCATTTGAGGACATATGGCAAAAAGATAGTAAACATGGCCACTAAGGGAACTCGTTACGAAGTTGTAAATAATTTATTTACCTCACACCAGAATATTATATTTGGTCAACCAGAAAGTGCAGTAAAAATGTTCAAAATACTTAAAAAAGCACCACAATTGGTAGTCATGGGTTAGTAGAAAATTATTCAATAACATATTAAACGTAATATTAAAAAATGTGATGAAGTAAAAAACATAATGCTCAAATTAGAAGTAAAGTTATCATATTTTCTTAATATTTTCTTTTGCAGCTGGTATAATTCAAGATAAATTAATGTCTAAAAATGAATTGGTTGAATATAGTAAACTACCAAGTTTGGAAGTGGCACAGAGTCAACTTTGCTCTGTTTTACAAAGTGCTGGATCGTGTATTGTGAGTCAACTCAATCAAAGTCAACAAACACTTGTTTCTCATCTTGAGAAACACATAGAGATACAGAACAATTCATCTTCAAACTCCGATACAAGTACACAAAGCTAATTTTAAGTAAAATTTATATGATGTCAAATGAACTAGTTGTAATAAATATATGTATTTAAATTGTTTTGTTTTTCTCCATAATCTTTTGTTATTGTTATATAAAATGTGTTCATTTTATTGTGTGTAAGTGATTTATACAACTATTTGATGTTGCAGTAATGAATATTGAATAATGATTATAATATAGTTTTTTGCCTATTATTCTTGACTGGTACCGGTTGCCTATTATTGTTGGTATTGGTTTTATCATCATCTATAAAGAAAATAGGACTGGCTATTAGAGATTAAAAAATTCATTTAAATTCACATGGTTATATATTATATATTATGTATTTCCAGTAAGTCAATCTCATCTAATAAAGTTATTCTATGTTATTAAGGCATTAGGCACAAAATCGTTTATTGCATATATGTGTGTGTATATGTATATATATATATATATACTTTAACAAATTATAAATGTACTTATTTTAAATATTATTTCTATACGACATTGGCGAAGTAAATTGTACCCAAATGGCACGCCTTTAAGACACAGAACAAAGAAGATTGAACATTATCTTAAATATTTATTACTTGCTTTCGCCCCTTATGGATTTTTACCGCAATTATTTTCCGCAATAGCTAAGTTATTATTTATTTAATTTTAACAAAAATGAAAATATGTAAATGGACATCAAATGATTTTTTTTATCTAAAAAGTAAAAACCTTACCTACTTTGATCCAAGTAAACAAAGAACGACTCTTATTTAAATCGACCTCGTTCTTCTTTTTTAAAGTCGGTTAATGAACGAAAAGTTACAGTAAAATTCTTTAGCAAAGTACTTGTCTCTTGAAGATTAACATTATCAGACTGCTCTAGAAAGAGGGTATTTAATTAAGTAATTTTCAAATGTAGGTACTGCTTATGTACTTATTATGTATTTATTTATGTTTATTTTTAACCGTCTTCTTCAAAAAGAAGGAAGTTTTCAATTCGACTGTATTTTTTGAAGTTATACATCTTTTGGTGCGTTTGAAAAAAATTACCGTAAAATTTTTATGACGCGCGCGCACACCGACATCCAAAAAGCAACATGATGAAGTTAGCTGAAAGCGGCACGATGAATTATTAGCTGCATTCCTTTTATAAACAGAGAGTTGTGACATACGGGACAAAACCTTTTTCACACAGTCTAAGCTTGCTTAATTTGAAAGTTTGAAGACTGAGGTCATACATTCGTTCAGAGTTCGGACATTTCAAAATGAGCAGGTACTGGTAGGTACTGTATACTGGAATTAACGAAAGATTCAAACTAATCACTTTATCGTCCGTGAATACTTTGACCAATACATAATCATTAAACAGTTTGTACATAATAAAAATAAATTAAGCATGATCCATAGAGTAAATAGCCATCTGTTCATCGCCAGTATATTATAACACTCGTAGATACTACCAAGTTGAAAAACTTGAACAATTTACCCGCTTGTGGTTAAACGTAAAGTAATAATTGTTTTTCAATATCTTTTCAATCATTTTATTTGTTTCTTATTTTTCAGTTGAATTAAGTTGAAGTTGGTTGGTTATGTGGCGGAAAATTTTTACTTATAAAAAGGTTAAAGCAAAGTAAATTGTTTAAGCCTATTTTTAGAGCTGAATGTCTTTTTCGATCAGCAGTAGCCATTGGAGAGTTCAACTATCCAATTTCAAGCTCTATCATCTGATTAACTCGATAGCAATTTGTGCGCTATACGGTCTACACAAACTAAAGACTATAAGGACTAAGGAAGTTAAAATCGATTTCCAAGATTTGATTATACATTGATACAAATGAAGCTAATAAAAACATATCTATAGACTATGCATAATATAATAAAACTGTAGAGGTCGAATGTCTGTACATAGAAAAAAAGAGGGATGTAAGAAGAGAAATAGAACAAATCCAGATTTTTTCAATTTTTTTGTTTCTCTGTTTGTCTGTTTGTACGGGCTAACCTCCGAAACTGTTGGACCAATTTAAATGAAATTTTGCATGGTGGTACCTTATATTCCCGATCAACATTGTAGATACTTTTCATCCCGGAACATTTAATAGTTCCCGTGGGATAGTTAAAAACTATAGTAACTTATACAGCTTAGTACACAACAATTCATGCACCTAATTTAGTAAAATTTGGCGCCTAATTTAGTAAATTATATTGTCGGTCAACCAACAAGTTACTTTTTATCTAGTAAGAATGAACGGTTCCCATGGGATATTATATGGGATGTTTCTACTATTCTAGAGGCGAGCCGCTAGTTAAAACTATATAAGAAAAAAAACCAACGTAATAAACCTATTCATTGAACCCATTCCCTGAGCCTCAACACGATATATCACGATATCTATCGAAAAATTTAGGATCATTGTAATGCCATTGAAGTAAGGAGATAAAGTTTCAAATCGATTAAGATCTGTAGAAGTTGTCCTTCCTCATCCTTTTATTTTACATAATTCATGAGGGAATAGTCATGAACGAATTCTAATTCGTCCATGGGAATAGTTTATTAAAAAAAAGTTTTTCTTTTAGTCCCTGCATTGCCTGAGCACCATAGTTCCTCCAGGTACTTAGTCTATTTTTATATGGAAAGATAAATTGGACGTTAAGTACCTACCAAAGCTTAATGTACAAACACCCGGAACAGCCTAATTACTATTAAGGTTAATTACTTTAAAGGTTATTAAGATAATCAAAGAATTTAGGAAAATAATTGTAAACATTTTTATTATTACAAAAGAAACATGTCAACACTTGTTTAGTTGTAAACTGTAAACACATCTTTGGTACATGTCTGAACTTAGCCTAAAGTATAAAAGAGATCAATATCTACTAATCTAAACAATATTTTATGGGCATGTAAATATGTGTACCTAATATGCTTGAGCAAGATTTAATATTATTATAATTTAAAAAAAGTACCTTATTCACTCATAAGTATTTCAATGAGCAAATTGAATTGAAATTATTTTTGAACACATATTTGTTGATTTTATAAGTTTCAGAAGTTACATGGGGAAATTTTAATAACAATGTTTCATGGTGCGGTGATGCGACTAGTCGCTAAAGCTGTAAGAGCGACTGCGGCTTCTACTTCATCTCTGTCGTGCCTCAAGGTACTGATCGCGACACGGACTTTTGGCTCCTTTCGCCGTCTCCCTTCCGCCCACCACGAGTAGTTGGCTTCGCTAGGCTGGAATCTAGCTGCGCTTTCGAGCCATTTGCTTAGAAGTATGGGACTAGTTATCTTATCACAGGAAGATTTATCGCACCGCTCTATTTCGTTGGAATTGTTATTGAAACTTTCATACTTTTCGCGTGATGTGGAAGAGCTGTCAGTATCTTGGTTACAAGCGTTGTCAGACTCTACGTTGCTCTCTGTTCTTATGTCGATGTCTAGTTGTGGTTCTGGACTTTCAGGTCCCGGTTCGCTCCATATGCTATCATCCGAGCTGATACTAAATTGTTCTACGTTTCCTTGCGCACGATCGTTGTAAGTACGGATGAGATGTCCCCATGTCAATTGGTTTCGATCTGCGTTTACATTCTTTAACTTCCTCCGCCAGTTTGCAAACCAGTTACATATCTAAAACGATAAATGTAAGTGTAATATTAACTAAAACTGTTTATTTGTACATAGGTACATATGTATTATGTAGTAATAATATGAATGTTTTATATAATAAAGTATCTTTTACTTAATATTACCAAATGTATCTTTTATATATAATACTTAACATTTTTGTTATAATACTAGCATATTATTGAGCTTAAATTTAATTACTTTTAAACGCTTAGTTTTATTATATTGATTTGTTAAATTTTTTAGAGGAAACAAAGCTAATGTGTTTAACCAGGCAGTGACAAAAATAGTGCCTATTTATGTACAAATAGCAATTCTTGGCGTAATGCCAATTAGGCTGACTATAGAACGAACGTGTTACCAAAGATACTAACTAAATAATTACTGCTTTGTAGCTACAAAAAAAGTAAAAGTACATAACTATAAACTTACTTGAATATAAGTGAGCCCTGTTTCTCTAGACAGGTGTTTTTTTTCTTCGCGGTTTGGGTAAGGATTGTCTCTTCGGCGTACGAGCCAATCTTTCAAATACCGCTTTATTTCTGGAGTAAAAAGCCTTTTTTGTGGTCGTTGACCTGCTACTAAGCATCTTCTGTGAATTAGAAAACTATTTTAATATATTGAAGGTAAAAAGGTACGTTGCTGTATATATAAAGATCAATTTTGTGTTTTCTGTACTTGTAACAAAAAGTAATAAATGTTCTCCGATTGTTGAGTGACGCACAAAGACAATTATTTACTAAAGACTGAAAATAATGACTCATATTCACTAACCGTGTATACCGTCTGTTCCTGACGGGTCTCAAAGTTTTTACGTCCTCTTTAGATGTGCCATCCATTTTGTCCACTTTTGCCTCGTTGACTTTTTGAATCACCGTCATCAGAGGTGTTGAGGGAGAAAATAGTCAAAACTGTCACTGAAAAATGTATTTTCTTTCAAGTGTCTGGTAGGTGAGCACGTGCGAAGGGCTCCGCAGCTTGCGACACGACTCGTGTCTTGAAACTTTGACGCTGCGGGGGATGCTTGTTGATCTATTAAAAAATAAGGACATCATGACATAAATAGATTGTCTTTTAAACATGAAATAGTATACTCTCCAATTACTTTGGTTGTATAAAAAGCGCATTGTTGGTATTCAACCTATGCGTTGATGTAACCGAAACATGACGGTCACATTCCTTCGATCACTTTTAGATGTTATTAGCTCCTGGGATTTGTTAACTCATTTAATAGCTGCCACAATTATTTAATACATGAGTAGAGATATTAGACTTTATGTAAGTAATGAAATTTCTTAGATTTATATTCAGCAAATTATCTAAAAAACAAAAAACATGCTAAGTATTACGTGTACTGTCGAGGTCATTGTTTCTTTGCTAAAGCATGATATTTTATTTATGATTTGATCTACAAAGGTAAAATAAAATTATATTTTATACGTATTCATAGGATAGGTCTTGGAATAATTTAATTGAAGAAAAAAAAATTAAGCACGTATGGTACGTACCTGGGTGCGGGAAAGCTTGTGGAGTGTGTGAAAATGGCGGCGGATAAGTGTGCGATTACAGCGCCACTGCGCGCGCGCACCGCTCTGCTGCAAATTCATGTTATTTCAGGATGTCTCCCGCGATGTCTTTGAACATGATTGCAAATGCTATCCCTGAAGAAATAATAAAATTACAAGATAACTATTAGGTAATATTAACTTGAATGAAATTATTGATTTATATGATATTTAATTTCTTTGGTGAAAAAATATTAAGTCAATACTGTTTAGACTCTAGAGTATAAAACATATTTAAGGTAAACCACATACGATATAATTAAAATAATCGTGAATGTAAGTAGATGTTTTTTATGTTATTTATATAGGTATACATATTTTTTTAATTTTAATAGTTTTCGTTACCTGTTTTAATGTTATACTATGCTTTTATTATATCTATGTATAGGTATATCTAAAGTTTGGCAATGTTTATCTGTAATAAATGCATTTATCCGTGTTCATATCAACTAAAATGGTCCAGCATTTGTCTAAATACAGTCGTGATGTCTAAAACTATGTTTCTCTAATTTCTATGTTTCAAGAGACTTAATATTAGAAAAAACATGTAGAAAGCGTTTGGTTGTTATTTTAAAAGTTCTTTGAAACAATGTATAAATGCATGATACATGTGTAAAATGTGTTTAGTACACATTAAACTTTAGAAAATCTATCTGTACTCATAATACGACATGTGTTTGACTTGTACTTGAACTTGAGGTACATATAAAAGAAATTATGATTTAAGATTGATTTTAAAATTAAAATAAATACTTCTTAAAGTAGGTGTTTAATATTAGAATTTCGTATTCGAATTAGTATATGGGGTTCCATAACTCGAAGTATAAAACAGAACTATGGCTATTTACGAAACTGTATAATATAAATATAGGTACTTCGTAAGTACCTACCTATATTTATATTATACGGATCAGTATACCTAATATAAATAGGCAAAGACAAAAAAGTTGAGTACCTTTTTTCTCCTGTTCGTTAATCAATTTTCTTTTTTGTTTAGTAGGTAAAGCTCGTCAATAAACGAGCTTTAGTGTTACTAATAAAGACATTTTTGCAAACAGTTTTTTTACATAGATAGGTAAATTATATTCATATAGGTAATACTAAATAGATGTTTTCCTTAAATTTTCAATTAAATGCTTTTGAAAACTTGCTAGGTTCTTTCAGATATAAAGCTTTCCTCATGATGTCTTATTCACCGTAAGGCAAGTGGTAATCATTTTGTATTATTCATCAATGAGAATTCAGACAACTTATTTTATTATCAGAGTTTGTGTTGTTATTCGTTAACTCTTAAATTAAAAAAAATAATAACTCCCAACACAATAACCGTACATCGTGGCCATTTTCGGAACGACATCTCTGCAGTATTTTAGTAAAGAGTAATGTATCTTGAAGATTTCAGGTGACCCTGAAGGATCAGGTCTAGGTAGGTATACCGTACCATTGCAATGCCATTAAAGTTACGGGATACCAAGTTAAGAATCGAATAGGTCTGTGGAAGTTTCTTCTTCTTTCTCTGAATTACTGTCTAGTAAAGAGCTGATAGCTTGCCAACGCCTGAACAGATCTTCTTGATTTGCAAAGAACACTTTCGATCAAGTCCTTTTCAAACAAAAAAAACCTAAATTAAATCGTTTCACACCGAAACACAGACACACAGATACACACACGTTAAACTTATAACTCTTTTCTTTTTGCGTCGTGGTTAATAAAATGTGTTTGAAATTATAACTTTATTCTCATTTTTTTTTTGGTATTAATAACAATCAGTATACGCTAAATAAGCCAAATTAGTCTAATAAAATTTTCAAACTTTTAATGAAAGATTTTTAATTATTACTTAAGAGAAAGAAAATTGTTTTAAAAATAGAAGTCCCTAAATATGCACATATACCTATAATCCATACTAATATTATAAATGTGAAAGTGTATTTGTTTGTTTGTTTGTTTGTCCTTCTTTCACGTCGAAACGGAGTGACAGATTGGCGTGTTTTTTTATGTGAAGATAGTTGAAAGGCTGAAGAGTGACATAGTCTAGTTACTTTTGCCGCGGGAGATTATCTCATTCCCACGGGAAAAGACGTTAAAACGGAACTCAAAAAAATATTTATGATCAGAATTACTTGAAACTTGGTATTAATGCTCTTCAGTACAATTAAATAAATACGTGTTTTAGCATTTTTCGAAATTCATCCCTTAAGGTGGTAAAATAGGGGATGAAAGTTTGTATAAAACCTACCTTTTTAGAGTTTTTTTTATTAACAGTACCTATTAGTCCAGTTATTTAGCATTTTGGCACTTATCTTAGCCATGTATATCACTAAACTTTATTATTGGCTTGAGGCTCCTAAAAATTCCGGAGCACTTTCATTTTTAATAAATAAATAAATCTGTTGGGACATTAGCACACAGTACCATCTAGTTACTTAGTAGAGTCACTACAAACTGAGCCAAACGTGTCGTCAATTTTTAAGCACTAAATGTTCGGACTATGTATCCATACTAACCGAACCGTTTGTTCGTTTGTCCTTCTTTTATGCCGAAACGGAATGATGTGATTTGTCTACTAAAAATATTCCCAAGGGAAACACATTATATTCACAAATCACAATGTAAATAAATTTCTGTATTCGGAGGTCTAAGAGTGCTAGTGTATCTGCAGTTGTAGGTAGGTTGCGTCAGTAGTAATGAGATTATTAAATTAAGTTAAAGTAAGAAAAGCTTATATTGAAATACGTTCTTGGACATATAGGTATATAAAAAATAATAAATTAATAGTAAAAAAAGATTTCTAAAATTATTTATCAATTTTTTTAATTTATGATTCTTATCATGGTATTTACATGTCATGGTGTGGGAGCAATATTCAAGTCAACTGAATCATAATTGAATGCGTATGCAAAATTACGTATTTGTAGTTCCCTGTTGAGGAGATCTATCATAATCTAATTAGGTACAGCAGCCAGGCTAGAGGTAGGCAGACTAGAGGTTTTTCATAAAAAAATTGCCTGGAGCTAATATTATATGACAACGCCCCTAGATCATGTTTGTTAATATGTTTTATTTCTTAAAAAATATATCTCGCCTGGAAAAAGAATGTAGGATCCATCACAGATAGATCGGGATCTCCTACTAAATGTATATGTCGTTTCCTTAATTTTTTTTAGTTTTCCTTATGTCGATTGTAGAAGCTAACTTGTCTAAAGAGTCTAAAATTAGGTCTATATCCTAAATATATTACGAAGTATTTTTTTAGTTAAGCTAAGTTAACCATGTTATATTTTTTGTAAATTAATGTGCAGGTAAATTATTAAAGTAAAATTACTTCAATTTGTTAACGGAATATCCTCAATATGATATTTATAGACAAAAAAGCAAAACAGTAAGTTATGCTGACTTGTTGAATCTTTACAGTAGGTAGAGTTCATAGGATGTGATGCAACAAGTTGTTTCGATGGCATCACAATGTTTATGTAGAAGAACAATCGTGCACAGAAGAAATATTAACGAGTTCATATTAAATCTATTTAATACGTTACACAATTATTATTTCCATATTTGCAAATTTTGTAATAATTTATAACAATTAAATGGATACCCATTAGTCTCTACGGTGCCGGCTCCCGCATTTTGACGGTGTGACTGAGATTTACTATCTCTGTCTGGCATTAGTGTTTGTGTCTAGCGATCTCTTTCGAACTGTATTTTGCCGACAGCCGCATTAATCGTATTCACTATTCACAAGCTACACATGCGCCGAGTCAACCGCTCGCCTGTTACGCGTGACACGTTTCTCGTACTGGCGTATTTTGACGTCAACTCCACGAGTTCAGTTTGGGAGATCGTAAAAATGGTAACAGAAAGTGAATCAGTCGTGTAATGAATACTGTTGGGAACTAACAATTTCGTGATATAGTGTAATATAGCGTATATTTCACTGAGCTGCGTGCTCTCTATTTATCGGCTCTCGTGATTGATTTTTGCGGCATGGGCGAAGAAACTCAAGCCGTTGAGTCAAAAGTAACGCTAAAACGTAAAATAACTTTATTTAATGGCGTCGGAATAATTATAGGAACGATAATTGGTTCTGGAATTTTTATATCACCAACTGGAGTTTTTCTACATACTGGGTAAGCGTTGTCAAAATTCCCGCCTCTATATTTCTATTTAAATTGTTTTCGCACGTGTATTCTAAATGTCATGTATGCGTATGACGCATATTTACTAGCTACGAAATATTATAGGAAACTCGACGCTTTGTAAAATTAAAAAAAATCGTTAAAGTAGGTACACTATCAGATTTGAAATGAATTTAAAGATTAGGGATTTCATTATTTTTTCTTGTAAAATAAATCATAAAAATGTAAAAACAGTAAGGTCTTATATTTTCTATCATTTTCGAAATTCTATACTCTAGGCTTCAGAATTTGGAGGTAGAGTATTAATGAGATATAATAATTATAATATTATCTTCTTAGCCATATAATTATAAAATTATTATTAAAAAAATTATCTTTGTATTCCTCGACACGAGTCATTTTATTTACATGATGTTATTGATAAAACTATTTTTTATTTTTATACGCCTATCAAAAACAACTCTCTTATTTGTTTTATATTTACGCTTTAATTATTGTATGTACTAAATTTCAACTGATTATGTTCAGTAGATTCGGCGAGCTAAACTAAAAAAGAGAGTATGAGAGTATAAATGAACCGACACATAAACACTAAATCCATTATCACAGTTGCTATTATTTTTTATGATATAGTTGTATAGTCATAAAAAAAAGATTTATTTTAATTTTTTAAAATAAAATAGAGCATGAAATAGGAACCGATAAAAATGTTATATGAATCATAAGATCTCTAAGAATAGTTGTAAATAATTACAGGAAACATTCAAAAATGCTTATCAAATACTTATCATACGTTTTATGGAGAAAACATAAAGGTACATACTAACTATACATGCATACCTATAACAGATATTTCCTTATTCCTTATCAGCAATTTTATATAAATTTTAGCATTGCCCGCGGCTCCGTCCGCGTTCAGTATCTGTGCCTCTGTATCGATAATAATGTCTATTTCAATGAGATTTTCCACAAAATATTTAATATAAAGATTCGACTTAGTTACAATTTTATTGTATGTATAGATATTTATTATTTCATACGGATTAATGTATAATAATGACTCTGAGCAATATCTACGGGAGAGCTTACATTCTTTCGTTCCATGAGTGATATTAAAACTGAACGAGAATGCTGATAACGCGGACATGACCCTGACATACATCTCGGTATCCTTCGCCTTTAATGTGATATAGAATCTTAAAATCTTTCTAATAATCACTGTTCGAATGCTTAATTTCGAAATTCGAATGCGAATAATTCAGTTTGTTTTGTAGATAATTTTTGATATATTTTGAATTTATTTTACTGTAAAAACGACTCCAAAACTACTACCTGATCGAAAATCTCTCTCCATTGAAACCGAAAGTAATAATTTATAGAAGCCCTAAAACTTTTTTAATGAAACTAGCTAAAAAGTCTGTAAACACAAACAGGGAGCACGCAGGGACCTGCCTGTTTCAGCGTCTATTATAAATGTTTAGTTTTTAATTAGAATATTGACATTTATATATTTTGTGAAACCTGTAAGATAACCTTTGTATAGAAAATATTATGTATTTCGATTTCATCTTTTGATTTATCTAAAATGATTTTTATTTATAACTTCTTAAACGTTTATTCTTTAATATATATTAAATAAATTTGTAACCCAATATAAAACAATAAATCGATAATATAGTTCGATTTTAAGTTATTTTTAACTAGCAACTCATCCTCGCTCAGCTCTAGTTCATCCCTTATAGGTACGTTTTAAAGATTAGTATAGATTACTGAGAGATGAGATATTTTCCCGCAGTAAAAAGTATCCTATATGTTGACGCGGATAACCAGCTATCATCATTCTAAATTTCATCAAAATCTGTTTAGTGGTTTTCTCGTGATGCGTTCCCAAACCGACAGACAGACAAAAATTCTCAAAATTATAGATTCGGCCTCTGAATCGATAATAATAACTATTTCAATAAGATTTTCCAAAAAATATTTAATGTGTAGATTCGACTCAGTTAGAATTTTATTATATACTAGCATTGCCCGCGGCTCCGCCCGCGTACAGATGACCAAAAACCAGAAATGAGATATTTTCCTCCGGTAAAAAGTATACTATATGTTGACCCGGATAAGCTATCACCATGCCAAATTTCATCAAAATCCCTCCACTGGTTTTTCTGTGATGCGGTAACAGACAGATAGGCAGACAGACAGACAAAAATTCTAAAAACTATAGATTCGGCCTCTGTATCGATAATAATGTTTATTTCAATAAGATTTTCCAAAATAATATTTAATGTACAGATTCGGCTTGGTTACAATTTTATTATATGCATAGATAAATATTAATATTTATTATATACGTAAATTAAATTGTAATATTTAAGATACCCTCAGGCTTAGAAGGAATGCTCCAACTAAAATGTAGAGTTTCATAAGTTTTGCTAGTCTTTAAATATCAACGAAATTTTTAGAGGTTGCCGGAACAAACAAGATAATTTTTTGTGTTTATCTTAATTAATTGTTTAATACAAAATTGCAATTTTTGTCCCTAAAACGATAACTTGCCTTTTATTAAAATGTATTACCATCGCAATAGCAAACAAGAGTAGAGCGCAGCCTTCTTTAAAAATATTTTTTGCATTTCTAAAGTTTAATTGTATTAAGTTGACAATTTCATTAGATAAATTAATTATTACATGACTTATTGTTGAACCAAAATGTTTTTTAAAACATCTTGTAGCTATATACTTTTATAGTAAAGTTATAATTTTATTATATTACTAGCGACTCATCTTCGCTTCGCTCGGGTTCGTCTCTAGTACAAACTTTCATCCCCATTTTCAACCCTTTATGGGATGATACTCGGGATAAAAAGTATCCTATGTTCTTCCTAGGGTCTCAAACTATCTTCTTAGTTCTTACCAAACTTAATCTAAATCGGTTCAGTAGATCCAGAGATTACCCCCTACAACGTCACAAACTTTACCTCTTTATAATATTAATAAAATTTGTATTGGATATTTCATATTACTAAAATTGCTATAATAAAGAGAGTAATAGGCATGAGAAATTCTTAATAAAGGTTTATTTTAATTTGATCCGTGATCGTGATAATAATGTTTGTCTGAGCAGAAGGAGGTCGTCACTGTTTTAATAAAAATTGAAGTATAATTTCTTAATAACGGCGTAGTTATAATTACGAGTAACTTTAAATCTCGCACTTACCGAGATCCTCTAATTATTATAGGGCAACCTTTTGTTGGATAGTTGCATCGGTCAAAAAGTACTAGATACACGATCCCATGAAAAAGTTCTCTTAAAACTATCGAGTGTCGCCAATGGGCGTCACACGTATGGCCTATTTACATTCAGTCTGAGCTATGAGGTTAAGCAATTTATTGTGATATCTATTTTGTACCTGGTTTTTTGCTTCGATTGTGTTCGCATCTTACCTGTACAATTGTACCTGGAAGCAGTAGCGGCTATAGGTTTGATGGCGCCGTAGGCCCATTTCGATATGGCGCCCTTTGTCTTTTGTAACAGTATAATGTAAACAAATGGATGGGACATGGAAGAAAAGTACCTTAAATATTGAAATTATCAAGAATTGCTCAAAGGAAACATTAATTTACAAAAAAAATTATAACTGCATTTAAATTTTTTTTAAAAGCTTACCTGAGCCGGATATCGAACCAAATAAAAATGCAAAAAAGACACCATCAATGTTTTATCAAATTAATCGATAGAGTCTATGGTAAGGATAAAATCTCTTGAACAAACATTGCAGTTTTCTCGTGATGAGGTAACAGACAGAGAGACAGACAGATAGACAGACAGACAAAAATTCTAAAAACTATAGATACGGCGTCTGTATCGATAATAATGACTATTTCAATAATATTTTCCAAAAAATATTTAATGTACAGATTCGGCTCAGTTAGAATTTTATTATATGTATAAATTAAAGAAAACTATGAAATCTTACATTTTATACATATCTACTCTAACATCGTGGAGCTTACGCATAGGAACGACATGGAAGAAAAGTGTCTTAAATATTGAAACTTGGTATTAATGCTCTTCAAAACAATTAAATAAATACGTGTTTAAGCATTTTTCGAAAAAGACGATTTAAAAGTTTTCAAATCACTTTCTTTAAAATGATGTCCACATAGCCTTTAAATATAAAGTTTGTGTCTTTTGGGAAGAAGTTATATACATTTTCTTTGCGGATGCACTGCACAATTTGTCGTTTTAATTAAATTTTAAATAAAAAGAAAAAAATATTCATCCACACTATAGAGCTTTACACTTAGAGTACATATAAGCTATATACTCTAAGGCTTTATAATATACTGAGGGCTATAGTGATCGCGACATCTGGCGGGAGAAAAAGGCAAAATTCTTCCCCATTGTGTTTAGGCAATTCTAGTTGAAAAAATATACAACAATGTAAATTCAACCTTAACTGCAATGCTTAATGTTGTTTTCACAAAGCTATGTATAAAAATTAATGTATACAACAAAAAAAAATTACGACCAAGGCTCGACGTTAGGACAAGAAATTTCAAGTGGGTCGAATTGTCCAATAGGTACTTTTTATAAACTGTAATTATAAATGTTTTTTTTTTAATTTTGTTAAGGTTATTGTATGAAAAAAAAAGTTATGATTGTCTAAATACAAATTTTTTTTTACAAAGTTATTTTTCAAACAAAACAACTGTGTGTTACGACGTTTTTAAATCTGTACTCCGAAAAGAAATAACCTTCGGGAGTCAGGTAGAATATAAGCTTCATGGACTAGCATCGTCGTTCTATTTATTTTATTTTGTAAGAAAAATTGCTATTTGATAATATTGCCGTAAAAACTCCTATTATCATTAGGAATGTGTCTTAAACTTATTGTAATGGCTTTCGCCATTAGGAATTTTACCTAAATTCTCTCAAGTTCTTTTAAGGTGAAAATGAAACTCAATAGTGCATTTATTTCTTCACAAATAAAACATTAAAGTTAATTTTTTACTTAAACATATTTAAATTAGAAGTAAACAAACAAAATATAAAAGTAATTAATGTAACGACTCTATTTAAATAAGAATAAAGTGATGTGTATTAGTCGACGAACAAGGTTCTTGTTCTTATTGCAAATAAGTGGTCATTAAAATTTTTATATAATAAATATCTCGACCGGCATATGAAGTATAAAAATATATATAAAAATCAAATGGAACTCGTTATATTTAGTAACATACCTAAATATATTACAAAAATATATAAATTTATTAATTTTACTTAACGAAAATGCGACGTGTCATCCTCTTTTAAGTTTCTATAATATGTAATATTTTTACATTTTCGGTCTAATTTGAAAAGGGCATACAATTATTTCTAATAATACCGCTTTTTTTTGTGTCGGACACTTTTGAGACGGTAATTGTGTATCTTGGTTTTTGCATATCAATGGCTCTAACGTAATTTTCCTTAAATGTCAAATGTAATCATTTTTAAATTTCATGTTACCTTTAAACAATATGGACCTGTGTCCGAATGAAAATAAATAAATAAATAAAATAAATTAATAATATATTTGTAATATTTAAAATATATCATTATCATTAAATAGGCTTTTTTTATTTATTTTAGTTATTTTGTCATTTAGTAACATCACTGTATATAATATTATATTAGTAATAGTTATAATAATAGATAAAATGTGCCGTCGATAGTAAATGCACTAGCTCTACTTGATAACAGAGTCAAGGCTAGTTAGTAGGTTATGTTAAGTGAAAGTATTTAGTATTATTATTTACTAGCGATTTACCCGCCCTTCGCTCGAGTGCGTCCTGGGTTTGTATTGTTTGTTTGGCTGGTCCTGGGTTACTCCTTATAACGTCAGCTATTTGCCAGTGAAGTCCCGTCAAAATCGGTCCAGCCGTTTTCGAAATTAGCCGGAACAAACAGACGGACAAACAAAACATTTAAAAATAGTTGTTTTCTTATAAGTACCATTTGTACCTGCATACGCATATAGTAAAAAGCTGTTATTTTGACATAACAAACAGACACTTTAATTTTATTTTTCCGTAGAGATTAGAGGTTTTTACTATACCTATATATGATTTATTTTTAGTTTTTACTAGTATATATGATATGTATAAAGAACCTGGCGTAAATACTGAAATACTTCATGTATAGTGATGTAACATGAAAAAAAACTTAGTACCATTGTTTTTTTTCTAGCTTTGGTTTTTTTGCAGAAAAAAAATCTATAGGAAATTAATTCTTTAATTGAGGTATGTTTTCCAACTAATGTCACTACCACTTTCAGTATCAGTGCCACCTACACTCATAAACATAATACACATAGAGTAGGGAAGCCGATCAAAAATGTCATATCCCGATAGAAGGAGAATTGAGTCGTGCACCATATAAAATCTACAAATGCGCATGCGTCATGAAACAAAGATAGAAACTATATAGGCAGATATTTTCTATTTTTTTTCTCCCTGTCTCACCGCCACATATAGTGCTGAATGGCAGTTGCCTACTCTATGTGTATTATCTCTATGCCGACTAGTCTTGTCTCCGTCAGTGTTGGAATTTTCATATGTAAGTTTGTTACTATTCATAAAAATAAAAAGTAACATAGTACATAAAAAAAGTATGGTAGGTTTAAAAATAAACAAAAATTTTAATATAAGCTCTTAAATACTAATCTTTTACGGAAATTACCTAATTTTGTATTCTGTACTCTTGAAAAAAAAACATGCTCCAGAAAAAAAAGTGTATTTATTTTCATGTTTTTTTTTAACTTTTTTACACGTATTAAAAAAAACTGTCTTTTTGCAATACTATTTATGTACCTATAATATTAAAAAAAATGACCGTACCACTATCTTATATAAATTATTACTATTTAGGTACACATGATATTCCTTATATTAGATATACTAGATTCCTTAAATATATAATAAAAACTTTCTAGAAACCTATTTGAAACCTGAATTTAATGTAATATAGATACATATACTCGTATATCTTATCTTACAGAATAAGTTTTATGCATGTAATTAAATAATTTTAGGAAACCTACACCAACGATATAAAAAGTTATCATTAATCAAATTATACCTACTTTCGTATTACGTAGACCCTCAAAATGGAACGTGTATGATCTTATTTCAGTGTGGTTTCACCTACATACCGATCCTTCTTATATCAGGTTATCATCGGACGTTTAAGTGTGTAATGTACCTATATATGTACTGTAATCAGTGTCAAATTTCTTTAAGGTTATTTATTCCATGGAATATAAGTAGAGGTAGATTTCTTAAAAAGACAAAATTAATAAAATTCTCAACACCTAATGTCAAACTTGTTGATAATGGTGTAACATTAAATGGCGAAGTGTTAAAACCTGTAGAGTCCACTAAATTCCTAGGTATTATCATAGATTCGAAATTGCAGTGGGGCCCCCATATTGAGGAGCTAGCGAGTAGACTCAGCTCTGCCGCGTTCGCGATAAAAAAAATAAGACTTCTTACTGATGTAGATACAGCTCGCATAGTATATTTTAGTTATTTTCATAGTATTATGTTCTATGGTATCTTACTATGGGGAAATGCAGCTGCTATTAATACGATTTTTGTCCTGCAGAAAAGAGCTATTCGTGCAATTTATAGTCTAGGTCCTAGAGTGTCATTAAGAGATAAGTTTAAAGAAATAAAAATATTGACTGTTGCTTCTCAGTACGTGTACGAAAATATTATGTATGTCCGTAAAAATATACACGAATTTCCCAAGAAGTGTGACATTCATAACATTAATACTAGAAGCAAACACAAACAAAATTGTAATGCCTGTGACTCGTCTACACAGTCAGTAATTCTTTTTATGGAAAATGTATACGCTTGTACAACAGGATCCCAGAAAATGTTCAAAAGGCTTCTATCGCCAAATTCAAAAAATTTGTTAAAGAACGTTTGTGTGCCAAAGGCTATTATACAATAAATGATTTTATAGAAGATGGCACACCTTGGGAATGAAATGATCGCCTCCAGGCTACTTCAACTTGATAGAAATATTGTAAATTATAGTTTTACTTTAATAAAAGATTATACTTTAAGAAAAGCTATTGGTCCCGCTGAGTTTCTTTCGCCAGTTTTTCTCAGGTCTAAGGCTTCTTCTTTCCGAACTAGTAGTAGACTCATGACGTTCAGTAAAAAATTGTAATAATTGAATGCTGAGTAAAATATTTTGATTTGATTTGATCTTAGAAATAAAGTAGATAAAAATTGTTTCAGGTCGGTTGGAGCATCTTTGATAATATGGCTCGTTTGTGGACTTCTGTCGACGTTAGGGGCACTCTGTTACGCCGAGCTGGGAACCTCGATATCAAGGTCTGGCGGTGACTATGCTTACATTTACACTGCCTTTGGACCCCTGCCTGCTTTCTTGAGGATGTGGATAGCCCTGCTGATTATCAGGCCCACTACTCAAGCTATTGTGGCACTTACATTCGGACATTATGTCGTTAAACCCTTTTTCGACGAATGTGAACCACCACAGGACGCCGTCAAGCTACTCGCTGCAGTATGTTTATGTAAGTTATTTTATATACTTAATCTTCGTTATATATGTAAGTTTTAAAAACCATTCTTTTATCAGAAATTTTTGGACTATAGTCAAATGTTAAATAAAATAATATAGTTCAAGTGAGAAGACTATCATAGTAACAGTCACACACTTTATACTTCTTAAAATAAAGATAATAGAATAAGAATAGTAAATAGTAATGTAATTTAATAAAAATAATAAAAAAGTGATTGTTTCTTATAGGCATGTGATTATTTACCAATTTGCTCTTAAAATTAGCATTCATAGATTTACGGCGTAATTTTATGACCCTGGTGACTGCTTTCAGAAATGACGACAGTGGTTTAAAAATTATAGTTATTTACTTACTTATTTTATTGTCTTTGGTTTCCTTAATCTAAATAGGTTTTAAAAATAGGTGGTGACATCTGTGTTTGAAATGAGTCTCTATCACTGTCTAACCTTTGACCACTTTTTATTTATCAATAATGATGTCAACCTTTTTCAAGTATAAAATAGATTTAATATTATTCGGTTTTTTTATTTAGCAATTGGAAAATATATATGTACTTATAAATGCTTGTAGAAGATTTAAAACTTGTTAGGATAAAAAATTGGGAGTTGTAATATATTATAATTTCTGTTTATTACATAGTGTAATTAAAGTTTTAAAAAAAGCTTCTACTTAGTCTACAATCTATATTGTCATAAACATTGTATATACGATTTTATATTCAGATAATGAATTTTAAATTTAAGTTAGCAATATATGTTTTTTATGAGAACAATATAAAAATATTTCTTTTCAATATGTGATAGATGATGGTGAAATACATTTTACTAGTAGATATATTAGATAATACTTTTGCCATCAACTTCATCCGCATGAAATACAGAATCAGACATTTCGTTTCGGTTGGTTATGATTGCCATGATCATGATAATCTTTCATTGCACAGGTTGTGTGGGCTTAAATTGCTTAAGAGCATGATACGTACCGATTTTTTATTAAAAGCTCATGAGATAACAGAGAAAATGGTTTTAGGAAAGAAAATTCTTCTGAAAAAGAAAAATCTATATTATAAAACAAGACGTGTTTTGGGCTTTGGCTATCTATTGACAATTGGTAAAATATTATTTTAATAAAAGTTAAATATGTTATACCTACGTGATACGTCCTACATACATGATATCTATAACGACATTTTTTATAGAACTATTAAAAGACCTACATATTAACCATACCTACATTGTTTCCATTTACATATATGTTAATATACGACGGTTTATGTAGTGCACGTAAAAAACGCTGAACTAAGTAAGTTCTTCGACAACCTAGGCAGTTATTATATCTCTATATATATATATATATATATATATATATATATATATATATATATATATATATACTTAATATGTAATTTATAGCCTTCACGAAAAAGATTAAAAATGTTTTTAGAGATTTTTTAGAAAATCTGTCAATAATACAATAGATAAAAGATGATAAGAAGTGGACCCATTTTAAGTTATAATTCAAATTATTTTAATATTCCTATATTAATCCACACAAGAATCTATATACATATGTAGATGTAAGACAAAACTCTTTTAATGACATGATAAATCACGGGACACTGAAAACTTAGCATTAATTAATGCACGTAAAATTGCAAGTTACGGCTTGTTAACAATTTTCATATTGAATAGAATATAAGTATACTATTGTATAAAATACATGAGTCATAATGTCGTTGATGGCGCCGCTTCGACGAAGGATTTTCTAAGATCATTATCCTCATACTTTACCCATAATGTTATCCTCTGGACTTCTATTCATTCATATGCATGGTTAAATATTATTTTGATTAGATACTAAGAACATGTTTGTGCATAGTAACTAGTACTAGATGTTATGAAAGTAAAAATCATTAACACTTGTTCATTTGATAATTGAAATAATTGCCCAATAACTACTTATTTTATTACATTAAATCATTCAATTATGTGCCACTTAAACAAATGTTACGTCATTTTTAAATGTTACTTAAAAATTATTTAGTACTAGCGACTCACCCTCGCTTCGTTCGGGTTCGTGCCTACTTACGTTTTAACGTGTAGTATTCTATTTTTTCCCTCTGTAAAAAGTATTCTATATGTTGACCCGGATAACCAGCTATCATCATACCAAATTTCATCAAAATCCCTCCAGTGGTTTTTCTGTGATGCGGTAACAGACAGACAGACAGAGATATGAAACTAATCATAAGTAACAAGCTTAGTGATTAGGATTTTTATCAGAAATTCATAAATGTCTAAATCTTAAACACTTAATGACCTTTATAGACCTTTTTATTTAAATATTTATTAAATATTTAAATTTCCATGATTGAGGAGGAAGACTCAAATTTTGAAGGAAAATGTGTTTAAATAATATTATTACGGCGCGTTACCTACTGCTCGTATACCTTCCTTATACATACTCGTATGTTGGCATTTTTTACTAGCTGGAATATTGTATGTAGTTACTTAGGTAGGACGTAAGAGGAAAAGAACTTTTTTTAATTTTATAAATTTTATTTAATTTTTTATTTTCTTTTTTTTTCAACTACGAGGTATGCGCTATTTATAACGAGTACTTTATAACGAGTATGTGTTTCTTAAATACAAACTTTTATTTGATTAAACTAAATTGATAATAAATAATTGTACGCAATGAAAAAGTTTTATTATCCATTATAAGTTTAATCTGTATGTTTGTTATTACAATGCCGCGTCTGATGCTGCTTTAAGAGAATAATTGGGATGGAGGCAACTCCAAAATGAATATAAACTTTTTTTATCGACGCAAATAAGTAAAGGTAAAAAGTAGCATTAGAATTCGAGAAAGCGCCATAACTTATATATTTCTTTAGCAATTTAATCATCATTATACGTCTAGGTACATTGTGTAAGTTATACCTCATACATTGTTGGTGAAATGCTATTTTGATAATTTTATTCACATTTTTTCTAAAGACTACACTTGAAAATACCATCGAAAATTACATAAATATAATGATTTAATTTAATAAAACAGTTTAGTAAGAACTGAAACTGAAAGAAGGAATGTAATGCAGATATTATTATTAAGTAAAGTTGTTACAAATTGTAAATAAAAATGGGTGGAATTGAAATAAATCATCTCGTGTGTGTGTGTGCGATAACTATAATATTAGAAAATTTTTATATTACTGAAACTCGATATTTAAAAGACCTACTGGTAGCTTTTTATGAACTGACTTCACAGACACTCCTTCACAAAGAACAAGAAAAGTGTACATATCTACGGACGTAAGAAGTTATACTTCTTTGGCGCTACAGAACAAAAATAACTAAAGATTTCATCCCGTATGTCGCAGATCTCTGTTTGTAAAAGGAATACAGCTAACCTTATCATATCGCTTTATCTTTGTAAAAATTTTACTCTCATAACTGTTTCCAAACGTGCCAAAAGAAGTATAACTTCAAAAAGTAACTCATCAGATTTATAACATTAGTATAGATTATAAAGATTATTCATATATATTAAAGTTGTTTTTGTACCTTTGGTGGTAAAGTGCTTTAGTGAAAACTTTGTAATTTTGGTGATAAGTTCAATCATATATGGACAAAATGGTAAAGAAATTAAGTAGTTCTATTTAATTATTCCCTCCATGATCGCGGACACCCTGAGGTGTCAGTTAACAATAGATTTCTTAGAATTTTGGAGATTTTGGTTTTTGGATTTTGGTGATTATGGAACTATATAAATATTAAAAATTACTATAATCTATATATATATATATATATAATATATGTATCTTGTCGTCCATAATTTTCTTACAAGAAATGGGAAAGTGAAGGGGAAGAAATTAGAAAATGTAAATAGAAAGTAAAAATATACTTTGAAATTATAGTCGTATTGAACTAGATACAGCACTTAGTGAGTGTAAAGTGTTTATTATATGTTCCTACTCTTAACTTTAGATATAAACTTTAATTTGGCTAAATTAAAATGATAAATGATAATGAATACTTAATAAAACTTTAAGTATTCACTATATTTATCTGTTATATTAGTGTAACCCAGTTATTTAAGTGGGTTTATTATATTCTTAAACAACAATAAATAGGGTTTACCAACATTATTTATTATTTATTTGATTAATTAAAAAATAATATAGCTTGTTGCTTATAGATAAATTTAAATGTTGTTTTAACTTATATTATTAAGATAATAATTTATCTCGGTAAAGGTTCAAGGAATGGCAGCGGCATATCAGACGTCGTCATAACTCTTGAAAAGATCAAGAAAATTATATTACTGAACGATTACATATATTTAAAGTAATAGAGATAAGCAAGATTTAAATAGTTAATAGATACCGTTGCCCTTCTTTCTATTTTAAAATTGTCGTTTGTAATATTATAAATCAGTCATTGTTATTTATATTACTACCCTAATATATGAATATTAAAATTGATGATGATCAAATATGAATATTGAAATTGACGATGAAAAAAATACTATATTTAAAAAAATGAAACTAACGGCAAATTATATCTAAATAATAACTCGTTAAGTATTACTTATCTTAAGTAAAATATAAAAATTTGGACTAAATACTGATAGGTATATGGAAATATACTAGCTATCTAACAGATCTTTGTAACATATGGATCTAATAATAATAATAAATAATATTCGGACAGACATAGTATATGAGTCGAAGAGTGTTAGTTAATGCATATCAAACATATATACTATTTCCCTTATTACCTGAAATAAACATTCATAATCATAATATTAGAAATAAATATACCTATAATAATACTGGAAATTGACATGTTCTGACCTTTACACAGCCAAGAAGGGCTTACTATCAGTTTAATTTAATTCTAACTTATTATTTTTATCAAGTTTGGTATCCACATTAATATTCAAAGTTTGTGATATTGATAGACAAATTAAAACTTTCATTGACGTTTCGAAGCGAAAGCCTTTCTATATATAAAGAACTAGCGACTCACCCTCGCTCCGCTCGGGTACGTCCCTAGGTGATTCTTTAAATTGACGTAACTTTTTTATTTATGAACCGATTGAAATAAAACAAACACTAAATGTTAAGTGAAGCTTACCACAATATATTAGTAAAAACCGCATCCAAATCTGTTACGCCGTTTCTGAGATTAGCGCGCACAAACACACAGACAAACAGGCAAACCGACAAAGGGACAAACAGTTAAAAATTCTAAAAATCATTATTTTGGGTTCTATTGCGTGAATAAATACTCCCATTGATAGTTTTTCTCAAATATGTTCCATGTACAGACAGCGATCAGTTAGTTACACTTTTATTATATGTATAGATAAAAATCTTTATAAACAACAATATGAATAATATTTTAGATATACAACACATTTTTTCCATAAAATAGAATGAGAAAAATAAAAATATTTATTACTATTTAATTAAGCTAGTAGGGAAAAGAGAACAGTCAAACTTATGCTGATACAACCGACTATTAACTTTGAGACAACATAGCAATCATACTCGTATACACTTCTGTTACTTTATAATAATCCCTAGACAAGGTTTCTTACTGCGATGAATTTTATACTATTTGTCCATTACTACTTTAGAAGTTAACGTCAAGGTCTAACTAAATCAATTAAGAATACGTAGACCAACAAAAATATGATTTCGTTGATCTGTGCCCTTACAAAAATGTGTTAAAATTGTTATTTGTGTTTTGTTTTCTAGTTCTTTATTCAGTTATTTCTTTGACAGGTATATTGACCGCCATCAACTGTATCAGCGTGCGATGGACGATGCGAATCCAAGATGTGTTCACCACGTCGAAGTTGTTAGCATTAGTGGTGATTATTATATCAGGCATTTACTACATAGGTATAGGTAAGTTTAAAATTTTTAATTTACGCATATCTGAGTAATTTACACTTTAACATTTTATTATACTACGACGATGAAGAAAGGAACGTCAAAATTAGTATAATTCACATCTTTTCAGTACCAGTCTTTAACCGTCAACATGTCCGCGTTTATTTTAAAAGTTATAACAAATAATCGTTTACAACACTATAATATGATGTTTTAAGGGGTTTTAAAACATTCCAAGAATAGGTCGGAACTAGAGAAGATGTCTTAATATGGAAGTATCATTTACCAATCTTTCGCTTGTCGGTAATTTGGTACAATTAGGTCAATTTCTATCTATATCCCTGTGTATAGATAGCTCCATGGAATCAATTAGTGCTTGAAACCACCGAGACATATTAAAACAATTTTGGCAGTTAGTTTGACTTAGATAAACTTACTTATCTTAGTCGTAATAGTAGTCCTATTACTTAATCATTAATTGCATTACACGAAATGTACCATTTCTCATGAAAGAGTTCTATTTCTCTTCTGACATCCCCCTGACTCGGTTTTTAGCATTTTTTTTCTATGTACAGACATTCGACCTTTACAGTTTTATTATATGTATAGATGAAATCCCAAGTACATATTAAATAGCTCCTGCAAGATATATATAACATAATTTATATGAAAATGGCCTTGTATGTTTAAGTTGATGAATATTTATCACAATGCCGTTTAAGATAAGGCAATCGCTCTTCTGACTTAGTATTTAAATACATACAATACAGTCGGTATTTGTGCGATAGATCTGGGGTTCCTTAAAGGACCTATAGGGATTTCACAGAGTTATATTGTGGGACCATTATGTTAACTTCGTGGCCATTTCTTTAAATTTATAAAATATACCATGTTAAACACGTCGCCAATGAATATTTTCTGTATTGAAACTTGTAGAGTCTACTTTCTAACATATAGTTAATAATAAAATATACATTTAAAGAGGGCCTCCATGTGTAGTGGCTGACAAGTTCTATAGCAAATCACATTAGAATATACATAATATATACATATTATATCTACAAAATACGGTATTCGTTTACAACGATATAAATTAATAGTGCAAACTTTGTCAATTTGCACGTCTTGATTAAAATGTGTGGGAATATTTCGTAAAGTATAGGCTAACTGCGTGTTTGACTCACTTAAAGAAGTCATGACTGTAAAATTAACATTAATAATACTTAATTAATCGTTGTTATTTAAATTAACTTCTTATAGTGTTGGTAACTACTTAGTTTGTATAGTCCTAATTGTAAAAATACCAATTAAGATATATAATGTTTGTAAATACATGTGATAAAATATAAATAAAAAAATAGTTTATTTATTTACCATAAATATAAAAAAAGCAAAAAAAACATATTTATGAATATCAATGTGTTGTGATGAGATCTGTTATTAGATCGAACTGAGGAGTCCTGATAAAGTTGACAAAGATTTGGAATTCAAATTTCAAGCCAGCAAGAGTTTTATATCCGATTCCGATATGAACGTTATTTAATTATTTGCATTACACGGACAGGCTTTTTAAGCACGAGGCGTGGGACTCATCGGCAAAGCCTACCCACTAATTCTCATCATTACGTAATGTCTTTATCTGGTCGCACGATTAATTAACCAATGATAATTCAATACAGGTCATACCGAAAACTTCCAAAATGCCTTTGAAGGAGAATACAGCGCAGGGAAAATTGCCTTAGCGTTTTACTCAGGTCTCTTCGCCTTCGGTGGCTGGAACTACCTCAACTTCGTTACAGAAGAACTCCAAGATCCATACAAGTTAGTACCTATACCTAATATTTACTAGAGAGTATACTTTAAAATTAGTTCTAATTACCAATTTATATTAGTTCACTAGCATTGCCCGCGGCTCTGCCCGCGTTCAGGTGACTAAAAACCAAATTCTTAGGTTTTACATATTAGTGTACTCTTGCAATGCAGTTTTTGTATTTTTTAGCAGAAAATAGATATTTTCCCGCGGTAAAAAGTATCCTATATGTTGACCCGGATAACCAGCTATCATCATACCAAATTTCATCAAAATCTGCCCAGTGGTTTTCTCGTAATGCGGTAACAGACAGACAGACAAAAATTCTAAAAACTATAGATTCGGACTCTATATCGATAATAATGTCTATTTCAATTAGATTTCCCAAAAAATATTTAATGTACAGATTCGACTTAGTTACAATTTTATTATATGTATAGATTAACTTTATTTGTTTTGCAACAATCGAAACCAATACGTTAACAACAATTACGTTACTTATTTTAACGTAACGTAAAATGACGGTCTTTACACTATGTTTATTATTACAAGTAATGAAGTGTTTATATCGTAACAATTGTAATATACGTCTAAATGGTATTTTGTGGTTTTCTTGAAATGGCTTGAACACGATTATTATGAATTTTATCCTATTATTGGTGATATTTCTGTTAAAAATATAAGGGAATTACCTATTCATGAGTTAATTAATAGCATACGCGGATAATATTCTCATACATATTATGTGTATTGAATACAGTGTAAAATGTTATAGGTAATATTAACTACATATAAGTTTCAAAGGAAATAGAACTTGTTGAAGTAAAAGGCATCGTTAGATATGAGCACGAAACGCTCATGCCTAGAAAATGATATCGTTATGGTAAGTTTAAAGAAAAAAATAATATATTTTCTATCTCGACGCCGCTGTAAATATTATTCAATATTATTTGATTATAAAATTATTTTCATGTATGTGTCTTAAGATAAACTGGCTACCTTTTGATTTGATCCTTTTCATTAATTAGGCACTTGAAAAATATTGTCTACATACAAACAGTAGTAGTAGTAGTAGTAGTAGTAGTCTTTTTTTTTAAATACACTTCTTTGGCATCGTTAAAACTTTACACTCACACTTACACTCATCTTTACGTAATATTCTAATAAACTAAGGGTAACTAAGGTATTTATATATTTTTCCTAATCTATACATATAATAAAATTCTAACTAAGTCGAATCTGTACATTAAATATTTTTTGAAAAATCTTATTGCAATAGACATTATTATCGATACAGAGGCCGAATCTATAGTTTTTAGAATTTTTGTCTGTCTGTCTGTTATCGCATCACGGAAAAACCACTGGAGGGATTTTGATGAAATTCGGTATGATGGTAGCTGGTTATCCGGGTCAACATATAGGATACTTTTTATTGCGGGAAAATATCTGATTTCTGAGAAAAATACAAAAACTGCATTGTAAGAGTATACTAATATGTAAAACCTAAGAATTTGGTTTTTGGTCATCTGTTCGCGGGCGGAGCCGCGGGCAGTACTAAGTATAATTTATTTAATTTGAGTCTTTATCGTTTTTAAAATTTTGTCAGAAGAGTCCCTTTTCACTGTGTTGGCAGAATTATTAAAAAAAAAACACAAAAACCTTCATGCAAGTCAGATTAGAAATACCTAATAGAAAATGGGCGTGGATCCATTTCGTGAAGATTCTCTCTAGAGAGCTCCTCAAATACTCTTTTATCACAGTAATTGTAGACTTAGTACTTTAAATGAAAGCAAAGAAATGTGATTGATTGCTCTGGAATAAAACTGACTCAGAGTTTTATTTATAAGTAGTAGGTATCTATTTAACGATAAAAAATTTAGTTTTAAAAGGAATATGCTTAGTTGTAATGGGTTACATTATTTTTTACTATATTAATTGCTCGTAAAAAAGACGGTTACGTAAATACTAACCTCAATAAATTGCATTTATTTACAATATAAAAGTGACAACCAATAATAATTCACTTTTAAGGTTACATACTTGTACTTTTTTATTTATTACTTGTGCATTTGTGCTTATTAAAGAAAAATACAGTATTTACCCGATTGCGGCGAAGCCCAAAGGAGGGTTATGGGTTTGACATGTATGTATGTATGTTCGATGATCGATCCTATGTTTCCTCGTAATTACTAAATGGTTTAACCGATTTTGATGATTCATATGTCTTTAGATTCGTCTGGATAACGCGAGTGTCATGTTGATATATGGACATTATTAAAAATCAAAATGACGGATTTCACACACTAATCGCTATATCATAAAAATACTTTATCCAAACCTATCCAGTTAGGTTTTAAAATGTAGGATACCAAATTGTTAAATAAAACTCTAATTGTCTTACAGGTCAATAGATATCATTAAATATCTATTTTCGTACGAATTTATCGAGTGGAGTATAAAAATACATGCTTATTATAAAAGGCGATTACAAAAATATAAACAACTGTAGATTATTATGTTAAAAAACAATTTAGGATAAGAAATTGTTAAATAAAACTTAAGATTTTTAACTGATCAAAACTAAAAATATCTAGTATATTATTTCTACAACTTGTTTTCATCTTTTTAATTTGTTATTGACGCACTCTTGTTTTTTTATCTTTATAATTTATTGTTTTAGGTAATGTTTCTATAGTACTTGAAATCAATCAGGTATTGATAGTGTTGCTGTGTGTTAGTCGTATTGAAATACTTTTTGAATTTGTAAATATTATTTTTAAAGGCTGCCTAAGATTAAAGAATCTAAATCTAGTATTATTAAATAATTAACGGTATGTATCTGTGTAGCCGCTATAATATATTCTTAAACCGAAATTAACTTTGAACTAGTTTTTTTTTATATATGTACATATATCTTAAGGATTGTTTTAAAAGCACATACAACGTTTTGTTTGACTTGATCAGCTTTAGCTTTTAACGTATTAGATACATTATTCATTCTTATTCGTAACATTACGCGCATTTTATTCATGAAGAAAGTGCTGACGAGATACGAGACCAAGGTTTTGTATAAACATACTGTTACACACAAAGGAGGTTATATTTACTAAAAAATTTTTAATAACATGTGCTTAGCGGCAGTGAGTTTTCTCATTAATTTTATTCTGGATTAGGTATAGTAAATATGTAACGGTAAAAATAATAATATTTTTCATAATTTCTTTAAAAAGTACTATGAAATATATATAAAAATAAGCTTGTATTTTTAATGTCAATGAAGGTGATATAGCTGTGGTAAAACGCCACATTAGTCATTAGCCCTTAATTTGAACTTAGAGGCCATAGAAAGAAATAATGTGGATAGAACATACATAAAGCTTTCATACGACGTGGGTTTGGGCGCGTCCTTTAATTACGTGAGACAATTTTGGCGATTTTTCGACTCCTTTCGACCCCTTTGGTAAGATTTCGTGAGATTTTGCTGGAGCCCCTCCCCCCTCTCTTAATCTCACGTGAGATTTTTTAAAATGTGGGGAAAATAAAATTAATAACAAAACAATGGTCGTAATAAGTTGTACAGAATATTTTTTCAGTGCAAATTATTAGTGCATCGTATGTTTATTACAAAATATTGTGGCATTATTTTTTTATGAATGATATTCTCATCGCACTGTATATGAAAAAGAAATATTCATTACAAAGTAATTGATTTACAATTAATAAATATTTATTAATGGTTAATGAATATTTATTGAATGTTAATAATAAACATTTGTTCATATTTAATAATTGAATAAATGGTCTCCAAAAAATGCATTTATTAATAGTTAGTAAATTCTTCTGCCAGTGCATAATTAAACCGCAATGAATATTATTATATATGATTTAGACATATTATAGTGGAGAAACATTTGTTACTTAAATTAATCCTGTCTTCTCGCAATTTTACAATGTTTCTTGCGAAAAGGATTACGTGATATTTGCCGAAACCCCCCCCTCCCCGTCCCTCACGTGAGGGATCACGTGAGATTGAGTGAGTTTTGCTCGACCCAACCCCCCCCCTCCCCCTTCCCCCCTAAAAGCCTCACGTAACTAATGGATGTAGGCTCATGATTCATACAAAAGATTATAATATAAAGCCATTTATATTATGTAAAAATATAGTATGTAAAAATTCTAATATAGTGTTGTATGTAAAGTTTAAATATGTAAAATTTTTATGGATAATATTCCTCTTTATTCTTCAATTTTGCATAGCTATGACATGAATGTTGTTTATACCACTTGCTTTGCAATTAGTATGTTGTTGCCCCCTATCTATATATAATTCTGGAACCGGATAGGCTTCGACTCAATATGATTTTCTACTTTTCTAAGCAAAGTTAAATACTTATATTCATACTATTTATAACATAGGTGATAAAAGTAAAATATGTAATTTATTTATTGATAATTAAGTAGTTATTTATTTTACAAAATAGTATATAGGTAACGTGCAAATTAAGTATATAATATACTACGTTTATTATCTCTACAAGGAGAGCAATTGTTTAAAAAAAAATTGTACGTTAGCCATAGAATTTGAGTTAAAAATATGCGGTTTAGAGACTTGAAACTTGTTTTTTTGGCAACACAACGCGACAAATTGTCGCGTCCAATCGCCTCTATTTGCATGTAAGTTCATTCATTTCGATCTAATAATGTGGTGTTATATTTGAAATAACGGTAAGGTGAATAATTACACTCCGTTTGATTTTGCCAACGAGGCAGAGTAATATAAAAAAAAACAATATATAACGCAATTATATTTTATTAATAGGACATAATTTTTTTCCGCATGCGTAATACTATGGAAATATAATAAAATGGTTTCTATATTAATATTTATGAGGTATGATGACATTTCAGGAATTTACCTCGAGCTATATGGATCGCTATGCCGATGGTGACTATAATCTATGTAATGGCGAACTTGGCCTACTTCGCCGTGGTCTCTAAGTTGGAGATGATATCTAACCCAGCCGTCGCCGCGGTGAGTAGCTAGATTCTTAAAATATAAAATATTTCACATATAAATCCGTTCCAAAAATGTTTATATATTTACATAAAAAAATTAAGAAAAAACTTTTAATAACTTAGTATTGTTTATGTAATTGGCTTATAAATATTCATTTTACGTTTTGAATTTATGTTTGCATTTTACAAATTACTACTTCATATTTATAATAAAGTTGTATGTAAGTACATACTTACATTTTATGCTTTTATAAATGCTTTATTTATTAAGTACACATATAAATATAAGAACAAAACAATGAGTTGTAATTTAAATATTTTTTTAATAATTTATTATACGTAGGTAATGGGTATTTATGTATATAGTTATTAAAAAATATTTTTTGTCACAACATACAAACAGTAGATAATTAGCAAAGTGCAAATCAGACTTAGATAGACTAATAGTTAAAATCTAGCGTTTTAATAGCAAAACATAGGGACGGATGAACCAACAGTCATCATCTACAAAGAGTATCCGACCTCAATTTTGGAGTACGACACTCTAGGAATTACTTACCTATATAGATAGGTAGATACTTTATTGTACACCGCAAACAAATATACAAAAAGAAGATATAAACAATAGATGATGCATAGGAGGCGGCCTTATCGCTATAAGCGATCTCTTCCAGGCGACCTTAGGGCGTAAGCTTTGATTATTTATATAAACAATCTAAGAGCGTAGGAGTAATTATATGAAATGGTAGGCAGTGTACTTATTACACACAATTGCATATCCTAAATACATAATTACCTACCTACTTAAATTATAACAATTCCTGAATTTACTTATTGTAAAACACATTCCAGGTATTTGGTGATCGTCTATTTGGTAGTTGGAGCTGGTTGATCCCAGTTTTCGTAGCGTTATCAACGTTTGGTGGCGTGAATGGTGTTTTGTTTACTTCTGCGCGTCTCTTTGCCACTGGCGCCCAAGAGGGCCACATGCCGGGCTTCTTTACTCTTTTCCACGTGGACAAACAGACGCCGATACCTTCACTTATATTTACTGTGAGTATTTTTAAGTTAATTTGTTATTTAAAAAAATAAAATCAATAATCTAATAAATAATAATAAAAATGATTAATATTAATATCATAAAATGCTTGTATTTTACGAATGGAATACATAAAACAATAAGATTTCAATGCAATCACAAAATATCCAACGTCTTTTCACTTTCTATCGCATATAGGTACATTAGTAGCACAGTATCTATAGTACCTACATCTAGTTATAAAAAGGTGTTTAATAACACATTTCGACCTTCGTTGTTACACGTGACTACTTTCTTAAAACTTTCCAAAACTTTCCATAATACTCTATTTTCCGTGGGTTGATAAGAAAGTGAAACTTATAATAGGTTTTTTAAGAAAACAATCACTACGGTTTTTATATATTAATTAAACGTATGTCTCAGATAGATCTAACTCGCACAAATTGTTCCGTAGGTACCTACAATTACGGTATTTGAGCACATGTGCGCATGACATAATCCTAATTAACTTGCGCGCTTTGTTTTTTTTCTTAAGACTTCATTATTAATTTATAGGAAGATTTCATACTATGTTGTACATAAATATGCGAAATGGAACAATTAAAATACAAATATAGCTACAATTTATTTATTGTATTTATTGGATACATATAGGTAATACGTATTTATGTAAATATTATAGAATTGGATACATATATATAATGTAAATTGATATTTCATTCAGTAGCTCTAATTTGGGGCCTTTTACCTATTATAATACAACACCACCGGACAATTTCCTAAATACTAAATACGAGTAGTAGGTATTCTTCTTATATGAGCAATTCTTGTATATATACTTATACAGATTTATTTCGTGTATCTCGGAAACGCCTCTAACGATTTGGCGTAGTTTTAAAGATCTAAGCATACATAGGGACAGACAGACAGTGGGAAGCGACTTCGTTTTATACTATGTAGTGAAGCATTCTGAAAAAACGCCATTTTATATCTTTGCGGAAAAATGCCGAACAAAGCTCGTTCGCCCAGGTGGCTGGTATGGTATGGTAACCTGACCTTGCTATTGTCTGACAAATGACATATAATATTATATTCTCTCCTTCTTTTCTTTCCATTGCGGCCACTTTTACATAGGTGAGAGGTATTTTATCATGCACAGAAAAAAATTAGCTTTAATTTGATATATAAATGATGAATATACGCCATGAACGTATAAATGTAACAAAAACACTTTTAATAACTCGCAACCACTTTTGCGGCCATCTTTACATAGGCAGACGTAGTTTATCAGGTACAGAAAAAAATTAGCTTTAATTTGATATATAAATGATGCATGTACGCTATGAACGCATAAACATACCAAAATATGACCCGCTTACACCTGGCTGCGAAGAGGTTGCGGCCAAATGCGCAACGGCAGCTATCATTTTTCAAGATCTCTACGTATAGTTCTGTGAAGTGGAGTATAATTCATTGTAATAACAAATGCATCGTTTTTATTTCAAAGAGTCAACTATTATTTAGTTAATTAAACATACTAGCGGGCACATTTGAATAGGCACCCCGGACAAAACATATTGTCCCTTTTATTATTGTATATAAAAAATTGATTTCGATTAAATACGCAATGAACGTAGCAATCTTGCAGCAGGATCTTAGTCCATAGCAAATTAACTTTTAGTATTGTGTCATCTGTGATTTGTTATATATCAATTTCTAAAGTCAATTAATGTAGTATTTAATTAATGAGTTATGTGCATAATAGCACTCGTTTCTGCCCTCTTAAAAAACTTCCTCGAGGATATCCGAGTTCCGTACTAGCCATTTGGCTATGGAACCCTAAAAAATATAAAGAGTGTTCTGCAGGTGGTTTCTATATTTATTATGTCACAAATAGGCAATATCATATAAAACTTTCATATTTTTAACTAGCATTGCCCGCGGCTCCGCCCGCGTTCAGATGACCAAAAACTAAATTCTTAGGTGTTACATATTAGTATACTCTTACATTGCAGTTTTTGTATTTTTCCTCAGAAATAAGATATTTTCCCGCGGTAAAAAGTATCCTAGGATCGCGCGCTACATCGCCCGGTTTATATAGCTTGAGCAGGCGGTCGAGCGATGCGGGGCAGAGGGGATGGACTCGCCGTAGGCATCTCAATGCTCGCCAAGCATTAAAAATGTTTCGCTACTAATTACTTCTAACAACGATATCTCAAAAACTATTCATCTGATTGATTTAGTGTAAAGAGCAATTTTAATCTGCATTAAATGACTAAGCTAACTAAAATATTCATTTGGATAAGGATTAATACCGAACTAAAGAAAATAACTTTGAAAATAACGTAATGTTTTTAATTAAAAATGTTAACATAAAAGTGGTTATTGTAAGTCAACCGTAAGAGATAGAGATATGCTATCGCGGACTTTTTTGTAGCATTTTTATAGATTTTGAATTCTCTAGTAAATTACTTAACTGTATCTTTGCTAGTTTACGCGGCGTTCGCGTGGAAAGTTCCCATTTGGCGAGATTTTTTGCGACCTCTTCAACATTTGTCGCCGTATTTCAGCTAATTTACATAAAAGCATAATAAATTATATACCTAAACCTTCCTCAAGAATTACTCTTTCTATTGTTGAAAACCGTATAAAAATCCGTTCAGTAGTTTTCGAGTTTATCGCGTACAGACAGACAGGAGGACAGAAAGACGCGGCCGGGGGACTTATTTTTATAATAAGTATAGATAGATATCATTAAAAGGAGAACAGGATTTTGGAATATAATCTATGTTTATATAATATTTTATATGATACATTTGGTTTTGTTCGTTTAGCACAGATCACAATATAATCTATACTTATTATAAAAATAAGTCCCCCGGCCGCGGCTTTCTGTCCTCCTGTCTGTCCTCCTGTCTGTCTGTACGCGATAAACTCGAAAACTACTGAACGGATTTTTATACGGTTTTCAACAATAGAAAGAGTAATTCTTGAGGAAGGTTTAGGTATATAATTTATTATGCTTTTATGTAAATTAGCTGAAATACGGCGACAAATGTTGAAGAGGTCGCAAAAAATCTCACCAAATGGGAACTTTCCACGCGAACGCCGCGTAAACTAGCAAAGATACAGTTAAGTAATGTACTAGAGAATTCAAAATCTATAAAAATGCTACAAAAAAGTCCGCGATAGCATATCTCTATCTCTTACGGTTGACTTACAATAACCACTTTTATGTTAACATTTTTAATTAAAAACATTACGTTATTTTCAAAGTTATTTTCTTTAGTTCGGTATTAATCCTTATCCAAATGAATATTTTAGTTAGCTTAGTCATTTAATGCAGATTAAAATTGCTCTTTACACTAAATCAATCAGATGAATAGTTTTTGAGATATCGTTGTTAGAAGTAATTAGTAGCGAAACATTTTTAATGCTTGGCGAGCATTGAGATGCCTACGGCGAGTCCATCCCCTCTGCCCCGCATCGCTCGACCGCCTGCTCAAGCTATATAAACCGGGCGATGTAGCGCGCGATCCTAGGATACTTTTTACCGCGGGAAAATATCTTATTTCTGAGGAAAAATACAAAAACTGCAATGTAAGAGTATACTAATATGTAACACCTAAGAATTTAGTTTTTGGTCATCTGAACGCGGGCGGAGCCGCGGGCAATGCTAGTACTATATAAGTTCTAGATTTACTTTTGGAAAAACATATTTCAGGGTTCCGTACCGTGCCAACGGAACACGGGAGTACTTGCGAAATGCGCATACCGCCTATCGATCTAAAATTTGGTATAATAACGTATTTTGACCTCCTAATCACGAATATCATAACAAAAATTGGCGTAAACACCATTTTGAATATGAAAAACGAAGGAGAACCTCTTTTCGTTCAGTGTGCATAATTCTTGAAACGTTTGTTCTACTAATCGGCCTCGGGATATTTTCTGCTGTAGTAATTTAATTTCGTGGAAATTTTCTGCTTCGGCCTTCGACACGTTTCATCCTTGCCGCAAGATGTATGTACATACTCGTATGTAGGTATGTCTCCGACTGCATAATACTATATTCTTTCGTGAACTTGTTCTCATCTTTTTAGTTCGCTTTTATGCAATCGGGTTTTTTTATTTTTATAATATATTTATTTATTTATACAAGCAATATACACGCCAACATACAAAGAAAGGCGCGAAAAACGTAACCCTTTCCTTGCAGTCGGTTAATTAAAACAAAATGCGAATGCATTGCTGGATGAGATGGAGGTTTCAATGGGATTTTTGTGTTATAGATATATACTTAGAGTAAATACTAAGTAATGTGATAAATACACTCATATGCCTGAAAAACTAAAGAAATACTTGTTTTTTTTTCCAGTGCTTCTTCTCGCTCCTCATGTTAACTACAAGCAACGTGTTTGATCTTATTAATTACTTCTCACAAACCCTATGGTTGTCGGTGGGAGCTTCAGTAGTCGGCATGTTGTGGATGCGGCGAACCAGGCCAGATATGCCAAGACCTATTGAGGTCAACCTTATCATACCTTACCTCTTTCTCATAGCTATAGGGTGTTTAGTGATCATACCAGCAATCACTAATCCGAAAGACACGGCTATTGGGTTGGCTATATTGTTCTCCGGAGTTCCTGTATACTATGTATGCGTAAAATGGAAAACGAAGCCTGAATGCTACAACGCATTCTCTGGTTGCGTATTAAGATTCCTACAGAAACTATGTTCTTGCATTTATGTCGAGTCCTCCGAAAAGATGTCTAATTAAAAGCCATCTACTTTTTGATCTGTTTATTTTTTAAGAAGATTTTTGAGCTTTCTTAATTAACGGACCAATATGTGTACCTACTATATACCTATGTGTAGTTTTAAGAATATTTATGAATGTTCTTGTGTATTGCTAACTTTTTGGTGTTGTAATAAAAGTGGACAATACAAGTTGCTTTTTGCCCGTCCTAGGAAAATATATTTTAATTGTTAGAAATTGTATTTTTTAAAATAATTAAGTAGCAACATCATGAATATAATATACTATTTTCATATGGTCTGTATTAATTTGGTCAGCGTTGCAAGATGTATGATTGATATTAAAGAAATGTAAATGAAACAGAAGTGCACGCAACATAAGTTTTTTTCATTAACTAGAACAAATAGCTCGCCTATTATTCAGACGACTAAATTAAACGTATGTTAATTCATTGTATGTTAATTCCATTGTAAGTATAATATGCATTTATAATGTGCTTAGGATAATGAATGTTAGTAAAATCTCTTGAGCTTTACGAGTATTTATTGATTACTTGGAATACGATGTACCTAATCTATGTATAGACAGTACCTGTACCTACAACGTTTAATGCATGTATTCAGCCCTTTTAACGTCCCACCGCTGGGCACGGGCCTCCCTTCAATATCAGGGGGATCAAGTCATAGACCATCACGCTGACCATGTGCGGATACATTTCACAGGTCTTTGGAAAGGTGATTATGCTCCCACAGACATGTTATGATGAAATTATGGGATTTGAACCGCGCTCTACCACTTTTGTTTATGTATGTACTTACGTATATTTAGCATATAACATAAATAAAGTATTTAAGAGCACAGTAAATACTTAATCTGCAGACTACTGTAAAGTAGGAAAGGTAATAAAATTTTAAGTGATGTTCAGATTAACTACTTATTCTGCAGCACATTGCATACACATACATAATATAAACTAACGACGATTAAAATTAGGGAAATACTTACCTATGTCGTAAAACTATAAATTAGAGTTCAATGTAACAATTAACTAAATGCATCAACTTTCTATCTACCATTGAAACGGATAGTAACAATAGTGAAATTTAATTAAGTTATAGGTAGATTTTTTTTTTAATTTATTATTGATCAAATTATCAACTTACGTATAAAATATTACCTTGATATACTTAATGTTTTTAAACAAATTGAAATGTTTTAATAACATCTACATTATTAGCAACTTCGCTCTCTTTTATTGTTTTAATTATATTTACATTAATAGATATCTATTTACAATATTTGTATTAAATACATATAAACATGCCGCTCTGAAGTGCGCTGGAAATGGCTGCATACTGCACATTGCACTGTAGTTGATACTTGATATTTTATAGATGAACAAGAACAAACGGTGTGTTTGTATACAGTACGAATGGCATTACATTTATAGTTTGTGCATGTTTCATAAAAAACTAGTTAAGAGCGGCGAAATTTTAATACGTGTACTGTATGTAGATGTATGGCTTAATCATGTCATTAGACTGGTCACTGGTAGTTAAATCTTTATAACGTGGCGATGGTTTTCTACCATTAGTTTTATTTAAAGACTTTGTGTTCATTTGAATTACATAGGCGCCAAAAAATAATCATAAATTAACAATTAACTATAGGGTGATCATCGTAACGGGTATTAAATTTTCGGCGCCCTTATCGTTTTAACTGCATAGTTGCCATCGTCATTTTGACTCAAAATTTCCATGCTACATACGTTTTCATGAAAAACATTCCTTATGTTAAGACTTAACCCTATTTAAAAACTCCATTAGGATCCCATCAAAAGCCACAAAAGCTACATAGAAACCAATATTTATTGGTTCCTATGTGGCTTTTGTCGCTTTTGGTGGGATTCTATTGGAGTTTTTCAACAGGGAAGCTTACCTCGATACATACATGTAATACTTATAGGTGACGTCAAATTTTATGATCGACGTGAATAAAAATTAACGATTGCGCATTAATTTGCGCCTATATTCACAGTTCATATTTAGCATGAAGTTTTACGCGAACACCAGTACATAGTACCACTTTATTGTTGTACCTACAGTTTTATATCTACAACATTTTAAAGTAACGCATGTCGCATAATACTAGCTTTAACATTAAAATATTTGATGTTTACATTAAAAAATATATTTAGTAATAAGTTACAAGCACAAAAAACAACATTCAGTCAAATATTGAAGTTCGAAAAGTAATTATAGTTGACATATATTGTTAAAATATTTTCAGATTATAATTTACGAGACTTAAAATGGAAATATACCCTTATACTTGTATACTATTGTAAGGTGTAACAAAATATATTTGTGTAATCAATCATAACATTAGCTAATTATTAAAATATTAAATGTCATTGCGTTTTATTTCTTTTTCTCGTATGGTAATATTCTTTGGACACGGATGAAAAAGACAAGTTCCCTTACATATTATGATATTCACAGTTGCATAACACGGAACTAGCTACTACATAACCGTTTCAATTAACTTCTGTGAATTACCAGTAGAGAATCTTGTTACTGCTATTATTTTATATTTGTATTAGGGGGTCATCATGGGGTTTTATCAGAAAAAAAAGGATAACTGTATTTGTGTATTCAGCCCTTTTTAACGTCCTACAGCTGGGCACAGGCCTCCCTTCAATACGAGGGGGATCAGGCCATAGTACACCACGCTGGCCAAGTGCGGGTTGGCGGACTTGACATGTCTTTCGAAAACTTGCTAGGTTTTCTCAGACATGCAGGTTTCCTAACAATATTTTCTTTTACCGTAAGACACGTGGTAATTTTGTTAGAAAGGATTCGTATATGAAAATATCAGAGGTGCAATTTGAACTTGCTTCACTCGGTTTCCCAAGCGAGCGCAATACCTCTGGACTACCACTGCCTCTAAAAATAATTAGCTTTATTAAATGTCAATAAATTCCATCATATGTATTATACATAAATGTGCATACATTATTATCATATCGTTGCTATTAATCTATCTATGAAACCAATATAAATATAAAAATAGATCCCAAAAGTCATATTTTCCTTTTAATAAATACTCTTGGGTCTAGATAAAGGAAATTTAAGCAATACTTCGCTTCGCTTTATCTCTTTATCTATCTTACATTTTCTTGCCCGTATATGCTTGGAGCTGGTAATGAACACTTAATCCATTCTCTGTCTCTGAGCACAGATTACCGTATGATCATTTTTTCATTCTAATAAAGTGACACGATGATAATTATTTAATCTGTGATGTCTCAATATAAATCTATATAATCTGTGAACATAATTATCAATTGACACTGACAGATGCGTAGCATTTCTATTTTCTAGTTGGTTTGTGATTTTTATTTGTCATCTATGTTTATGATTGACAGGGGCTAATCTTATTTGATTATTTCTTTGTTATGACTGTCAAATAACAGTCACTTTTAAAATCATAATTTTAATTATTTCCATTGTTCTCTTTTACTTCCGCGTTAATTTGTTATTTATAAGATAATTGAGTCAAGTTTTATTATTATTACAATGTTAAAGTTTGAAATAGTTTCTTCGCGGACTGTGGAGGCCGTTGAAAAGGAGAAAAAGTTTGTGGCATATATGTTGCAAGTAAGACAGGATTCTACTGAGTCCCGAGTATTTGATCCTGACCCAGCAAATGTCGAAAGGAGATATACACATTTTTTAGATTTGTATAATGGACTAAAAAAGGAGCACCCGTCACTAATCAATAACATTTCATTTCCGCGGAAGGTATGACGCCTTACTTTTCAAACAAACGCTTATTTACTCTATTTAACCTTGAAATTACTTACACTATTGTTTATTTTAGTAATAATCAATTATATTTAGCCATGAAAATGATGACAGGATAGTGTATATTAATTATTTACTGAATAATCTAATTAAAATATGAAGAAGATTGATCGTTTTTTCCATGTTTATCGTTTAAGTTTATTTTTACATCTTAATAAATATATATCTAATATTCATTATTTCAGATAGTAGTAGGCAACTTTGATCCAAATTTAATATCAACACGTTGTTCTGCATTTGAGTCATTATTAAATTTAATAGCAAATGAGTCACGTCTCAGGGATGCCCCAGCAGCTATCGCATTTTTTCAGAATGCTGAACTAAAAGACGCTAGGAAATTAATTGACGAAGGAAAATTTGACCAAGCACTTTCTATTTTGGAAACCAGCTTTAAATTATTAAATAAGGTAGGATTTTGTTTCATTTGGCTATACATATATTGCTTTTACTTTTAGCATGTTGTAACGAAATCTACTTATCAACTTTTTACATGTAGGTTTATATTTAATTTGATTTCTAAATATAGTGTGATATTAGGAAATCCCGCCATATAAAATTACTGCATAAAAGCCATTCTACCACTCAAAAATTAAGATTAATTTGTAAAAATTAATGACTTCATTAATAAATAAAATTTTCAGCTATGAAATAATTAGTTGTTTATGCTATGTTTTAATATTTGCAGGTTTATACAGACAGATCACGAGTTGTGCTAAGTGTTCTATGTAGAATTGTGGCATGTGCAGGTTCCAGTGGTGGAGCCCTAGCTGGCCCTGTTGAGAAATGGGCACAGCTTGCTTTAAGACGCTATGAAGCCGTTAGTGACTCTGATTTGTTACTTATCTACATTCCACTGCTTCATACTTGCATCTCTATTTGGTAAATATTTTATAAAAATATTATAAAGGACTTTTCTAAACTTAAAGCTGTTTTGCTGACGAAATGACTTGAAAAACAGTCTTTTTTAATTGTGGGATTTTAAACTTAGTTGATATTTATGAAAGTATTTTTAGTAGATAGTATTCTTAAATTATTAAGTTTTTTTATTGGCAAAGTAATATGTGCTCAATTGGCATGCTTTAAAGCCATTAACAAGAAAATTGTATTGAATATTTTTTAATTAATTGCTTGGAATGTTATCTCTGAGAATGTGTAGTCTTTGTCATTATTAATAGCTGCCAGAATATTTTTTTGTGCCTAATTTTGAACATTAATATTAAGAACATAAAATTGATTGTTGTTATTGTATATCCTCCATTAAAAAAAACTCAATTGTCGTTCAAATTTCCTATATAAATAATATACATTTAGAGAATTCAGTTTGTTCATAGATAGGAATGCTAAATATGAGGGTTTTGTTAAAACTGGAAAACAGGACTACTTTAAAAAAATATATTCCAAATCTAAAAAATAATTCAATGAAGGAAAATGAAAAAATCAATCTTAAATTTTGTAACATTTCTAATTAAAAAATCAGCTTTAGGTAATGAGTTTGGAGAGTGTATTTATAGATAATGCTGTTTAAATTGTTTGAATTTTTTACTATGGGTCAAAAATATTTAAGTACATAAATATAAAAAGTAAAATAGTTTGACTATTAGGGGATCAAAGCCATCCATCATCTATATAATTATGGTAACAAAAATAGTCCTCATTAAGGCTTTCCAATTTCTTAGTATGAGATGGGGCATTTGTACTTGCATAGTATTGTAGTGCATATTATGTATTGCTTGTTTTTTGTTTAAATGAGAGATGGGTATTATTTATTGCCAATAACTCATATCTAAATATTTAAAATAGTTGATAAATTAGGAGTACCTTGGTTTCTGTGTAACTAGCGAATCACTCTCGCTTTGGGCTCGTACCTAGATGGAAACAAATCTATCCTACAGAAACCGTACATTTTTCTGGGATAAAATCCTATTTGCTATTCCAGACTATAATTTATTTCTGTGCCAAATTTCGTCTAGATCCGTTCAGCCATTCTGTTGTGAAAGAGTAACAAATATCCATCCATCCATCCATCCTCGCTCCCTCACTTTCACATTTATAATATTATTATTAGTATGAATTAGTAGGATATAATTGTTATATAATCTTAATATTCATCATAGTATTTATTTACATATATATTTTTTAAGTACAAATTGAAAGTTTAATTTATTAATATGTAATAATATTTACTTTATTTTAGGGAAACATTAGGCCGTGATAAATCACAACTAGTAGAGGAATTGAACTCACTACGCAAAAAGGGAATGAAAGTGGACTCTGTACCAAGCCTGATGGAAGCTGTAGACAATTTGGACACCACCATATAGGATTGCGTCAGGGAGTATATATGTTTAAATGACCTTCAATAAGTATAAATGACCTAGTGGAACAAAGTTTTACTATTATCATTTATAAAATAAAATGGTTAAAGGTTTTTTATACTAAACATAATATGTTAACAAATATACTGGTTTTGGGTTGTCTGATGAAGTATTGTCATGCCTGCTTATAAAAAAAAATGTTGGTCGATAATTTCATCCTTTAAATTTCTAAATCTGAACTTAATTGATAGTACAAATATGTAAATTGTTCAAGAATGCATTCAATTCATTTGTATATGCCAGACTTTGAAATTTGTCAAAAGGCAAGATCGCATGTCAGATTTACTGACAATAAGTGTGCAAATGGTGAGCAAATAAATAAAATATAAAAATTAAAAAAAATTATAACATTATTTTTAGGTTGTGGACCTCTTGACCAGACCAGACTTTGTATTGATAGGCAACCCATCTGTAATATATTTTTAATAATATATTTAATAATAAATACTTGCCATCCAGTAAGTAGAAGTTTTATGTTCAGTATAAAAATCTTAGAAATTAAATCAAATAACACAGTATTTTCTTCCAATCCAAACCCAATCTAAGAAAGAAAATAAGAATTTTGCAAATTCGTAAAAAACAACATGAGCTTTAGTTCCACTAAGGACATAGAGTTTATTATTAAAGTGTATAATTATTATTTTTAAGAACAGCTATTTTTTTAATTAAATTCATATACATAGTTTCATTATTTCATTGTGAAAAAGTATTCTTGTACCTGTATATTTGTTTGAGTAATTATATTTTTATTATCTGTAAATGATGTTTTGATATTATAAGCATTTATCAATTAAAATTAATATTTTAATGATTTGTAAAAATATTAGCTTTTATTATTCTTTAAAAAATACTAATGGGAATGGTTAAGCTGACACCTTAAATGAAATAATTGTTTATTATTTTTGTGAATGATATATTCAAAGAAATATTTGACACATTTATCTATTATTTTCTTTGACGACACGTTTGACTCAGTTTGTACTTGCCGTGCCAGCGGTGGCGGGTTTGATTTATTAATTTAAAGTTATATATATATATATGTGTAGTGTATAAACTATCTGGTATCCATTACACACGCCTCGTAGCTTGCCATGGAACTAGATGGTGCTGTGTGTTAATGTCCCAACATATTTATTTATTATTTATTTAATGGACACTATAATAATTATCATTCGTTTTTGTGAGAGATTATTCCTTTTAGTATTTTGAGTGAGTTTTGTCAAATTAAATTTTAATATTATAATAATTAAAGTAAGGATAATATTATGGAAATGATATATAGAAGTCATTTAACATTTTATGTATATAGAAGTCATTTAACTATTTTTGTTCCAAGTTTATTTATTAAATATTTATGATAAGGGCTTACTTTTGTATCTGAATGGTTTATATATGACACGATTTTATTTCATCATGATTATTTAAATATAATATGAAATTGATGAAGAATGTGTAGCTAGGCTGTAGCTGCCCTTAATTAATAATAATATAATTATTAGAACCAAATGTTTCGCAATGTACCTAATATATTATAATTCATGTAAACTCTGCCTTATATATATCTCATTAGACTATAAGTAGACAGCTTTAGTAGTAGAAATGAAGTGACGTAGTAATAGTATTGGAGCCCAAGAGGGGATTTTTGGATTTATTCAAGCGAGGGTGGATTATTTATTTATTTATTATTTATTAATATTTTGATCGGCTGCCCTAGACTCGCGCCCTTATATAGAGGACTTATATTATGGTGGAAATACTCAACAGAGTGCCAGGTATCCCCGCTTATGTTAATCTGCCGCGCTTGAGTAAATCCAAAAATCCCCTCTTGGACTCACCTACTATAATGATTACATTAAATAATTCAATAGTGTAGCTACTAGTGAAATATGCAACATAAGGCAATAATTATAATTAATGGAGAAGTTTGACGATGTTTTTAATATCATATTTAACGCATGGAATTTGAATGTAAATGAAAACTGATAAATTAGTGTTTTTTTTTAATCTTTGATAGATTAAATGACTGAGAAATTAATATAAATTTCGATCGTTCAGGTCGTGTGACGTAACAGAATTATTCTTACAAGCGCAACTTTAAAGTTTCATTAAAAAATTTTCATTTGTTGAGATATTTTAATAATTCTTTCATATTTGTTATGTATTCATCCATATTTTAACGGCACGGGCCTCCCTTCAGTACGAGGGGGATCAGGCCATAGGTCAACACGCTGGCCAAGTGCGGGTTGGCGGGCTTGACATGTCTTTTGAAAACTCACCTTCACATGTATTTTCAAAAGTCATGTTGGAAATGATTCGCACATGAAAATATCATGAGTGCGAGACCCGGGATTTGTACCCGCTTCACTCGGTTTCCCTAGAGCGTGTTACCACTGGGCTACCACTGCCCATATTTGTTATATTTTATTTAATTTTTTATAATTAATACATAAAAAAAATTGGAAACTTCTCCATTATTTACGTGAAATATACATATACTATAAAGGTGACAAAAATAGTAGCAGCTAGAATTTGAATGAATGGCTTAATGAAGCTAACAGTTTAACTTGTGCCTAATTAGTTTTAAATGTATTGCATAATTATTGAATTGTGATATATAATAGGTTTAGCAAAAATCCTTGACCATTTGTAATACGATTTATAACTGAGATTAATCTAAAGTTGACTACTTTTATTTGTTTTTTTTTAATAATCACAATTGTACTAGTACTAGCCAAAGACAATCTATAAATAATATATACTTTAAAATATATTAAAAAGCCTTAATACATGATTGATAAAAAAGAACAACAACAAAGAAACCATGATATTATTCTGATGCTCGCTATGTTTAAGTTTAAGTGAAAATTTGTTTTTCTTTAAAATGATAAATTAACTTGAAAATTTGTTCTTCATGTTTTTACTTACATATAATTACAGTCTGGAAATATAACCGATCTGAATTTTGTGGTAGCTTGTCGATATTTGTCAATTAATCATTTATTACTTAAAAAAGTGAAAATATTAAAAGGATGAAATGTAATGTGATGTTGAACGTATAGAAACGCATAGTGTATAAATCTAGTTTTTTGGTAATTTTTGATTTTTATCATTAAAGCAAGATTGGACTAATTTTAAAAATGACAATGCTTGTTATACATTTCGTTCTGGAACAGGTGTCAGTGATCAGCCAAAAAGGTGTCTTAGGGTGTTTTCCAATTACAGCACTAAAGCGCATTATGCGGCATAATGCTCAACTTCGAATGATTCAACTACAGCAACGCTCCGCACAATCGAGCACTTTGAAAAGTATGTACTGCTTTGGCGTGATGCGCGCAACTCAGTAGCAGAAAATATAAGAAGTGTTTTTCGCGTTTTTCGTGTTTGTACGCCAAAGTGCGGCATTATGCTCTGTAATTGGAAAACAGCGTCAATCGCCGAACGATTTTTAAAATATTTGATTTTAAAAAAGTAAGTGATTAATTTTAAGTAACAATATGTGTATTTAATTATGTATCTACCGTTAGATTATTTAACATTACAAATTCGTGTCGTACATCTATTTTCAAGACATTATCATAAATTCAAGTCAAGTATTTATTTAATAATTTAGTAATTTATTTAATTCATTATCATAAATTCAAGTCAAGTATTTATTTACCTATTTAATGGGCATTATCTAGACTTATATAAGGAAAAATTAATTTATATCTTTATTAAACGAGCTTATCGATTTATCTTTTTTTTTTAAATATCTACGACCTGCGTATTATTATCTACGTTAAATATTATTAACACAATCAAAATCATCTTTAAATATTTACTAAAGATGTATGTTATAACATTTTATTTTTTCGCTAAACCTTCTATTAATAATGTGACTGATATTTTATACATTTGTAGTCATGTAATAAATAATATCATAATATATTTGGAAATAGTGTTTTCTTTCCTTCCAAATTCTATTTAATCCGCTATTGTTAAAGGGTATTGCACTCGTATATAATCTATACATATAATTTAACTGTAGAGGTCGAATGTCTGTAAATAGAAAAAAATGCTAAAAACCGAGTCAGGTATGAAGAGAAATAAAACAAATCTATTTTTGTTTCTCTGTCTGTTTGTCTCTCTGTTTGTTTGTTTGTTTGTTTGTTTGTTTGTTTGTTTGTTTGTTTGTTTCTTTGTTTGTTTGTTTGTTTGTACGGGCTAATTTCCGAGACCGTTGGACTAATTTATACACAGCCCATGTATATTATATACAGCTTACGCTTAGTACACAAAAGCTACTGATTGGATTTTAATTAAACTTTAATATAGGTAGTTCATATATCAGAATAACAAATAGGCTACTTTTTATCCCGGAAAAATGTACAGTGTCTAGAGGCGAACCCGAGCTAAGCGAGGGTGAGCCGCTAGTCTATCTATACTAATATTATAAAGAGGTAAAGTTTGTGATCTTGTGAGTTTGAGAGTTTGTGGGTTTGTGAGTTTGTGACGTTGTAGGGGGTAATTTCTGGATCTTCTGAACCGATTTTCAAAATTCTTTTATCAATAGAAAGCCACGTTCTTTCTGAGTGTCATAGGCTATATATTAAATTGAAGAATGAAAAGGCTTTTTCGTGGTAGTCGGATTTGCAAAGTAAGTCGGAGAAAAAACGGTTGAACGAAAACGTTTCTTACGAACGCTGCCATAACGATGAGAGATATATGATTATATTCTAGAGAAAAGTTGTAGAGCTTAATAATGCCTACAAAAAAGTCAGTGACAGCACATGTCTAACTTTTATATTTAAGTCACAAAAAGTAGTTTTTTATATTAAAAAAATAATTTAAATCGGTAGGTCATGTTTATTGGTCATATTATCAACAATTATTAATTCTTATCAAAATAAGTAAATTTGTCGTCTAAAATGTTTAAAACAAAAGACTTTTCCCTTTTACTGCAT